GGAATCGAAGTTAGTCGATATTTTAGACATTAGTCATTAATCGATAAGAATCGGAATCGATAAGCAGAATCGGACAATTAAAATTAAATTAAATTAAAATACAAACGATATCCAACCCTGGTAACTACGGCGCACTCGCTTCATTTTTCCTCATGTGTTTTCCGCACGAGCCGCAAAAGCCTCAAAACTACGCACTCAAATGATGACCTTGCTAAATCGACCATCAAGTGCGTTTTTGTCTATTAAATTATTATTGACAATTAATCGCTAGCATCCCTACTTTAAACCCATGAGATAAATTAGAAGAAAGCTCTGAAGCATCAAAAGCTCAAAGTCTGTAATCTGTAGAGATTCCTGTTCCTGGCAAGGCTGCAGAAAAATGAATCCAACATTGGCTTCTTTTTTGCTATCTCCTGGATGGCGAAAGGAATTATGGGAGTGAGTAAAATATGAGTGGATACTGGCAACAGGATGCTGGAAGAGCTTATTGTAACAAAGAATAAAACCCTAACGATTGTTTTGGCAGTGACTGAGAACGTAGTTCGTTATTGAAGTGGTAACATGCAATGAATTATGCAGAAAGAGCTGCTGAGATTGTTATAAGCATGAATGATTCAAATCTCTATCCTGTTCTCTCTCTAAACCGAGTCTTTGCAGTGACAGGATATTTTTAAAAGTACGCTCCTAGATCACCGGTTTCAAAGAACTCACTATAGTGACACTTTTACACCTTGTTGTGATTCTTGCGACATGCAGCTGTTTGAACTGTGAAAGCTCGCTATGGGCCATAAAACTTTAAGCTTTCACAAATATTTAAGTATATCACAGTATAGTATAGACGTGTTCCAAAACCTATCAAGCTGTCTTGCTATCTATTGTCTACACAGACAGCATCCCACTGAAATAAAGTGTCTACTTTGAAATGCTCTACATTGGTAGCAACTCGTCACTCAAACACTGTTTTAACATTAGCAAGTTGTGAAGCCTGTTACTCCAATATTATACATGTAAATAACACACAAACATTGAGTGAAAGTCACTTTAAAATGTGACTTTCGTTAACTCCACAATAAGTAGCCTAACTTCACCAGCTAATTACTCTTTGACAGCGATGCCATAGGAATATACAGAGCTCCCGCAAAAACGCGCTTGTTTCTCTGGCGCATAAGGTCTATGTGAAGGATACATGGAGTGCTGCCTAATGATTTGGCCAAAAATTGGGTATCTTAGAGGGCAGCATAATGTTGCTGCCAACCTTTTGGAGCAGGGTCATTCCGTGTCAAATGAACCAAATTTGAGAAACTTCCCAGACTTAAATTTTTTATTTTGTTAATATTTTTTCTGCACAAAGACAAACATAAATGGTGATGAAATCCAAAATATTAAATGTCATGGATGTATATTTACTGTGTAATCCACTATTTCTATAGTATCCGATGTGACCCACATTTGGTTTTTGACCACTGAAAATTTGTACATTTTACCAATTTACTCATGGAGCCGCATTAAGATCTCCATATCTCTGGGATTGAACCTTTGAAGGCCTTTAAAATGCAGATACCAAAAGAAAAGTTAGCTAAGATCCAGAATCTAAAAGGACATTAAGATATCTTTAATACTTCTTGAGTTACAGGCATGCAAACTTGAGGAAAAAAAACACAAGAAGTGCTTTTGCCATTTTAAACTGCATGTCACCAATGGCATAATAAAACAAAGATTGCTAAAGTCAACAGAATTTACTAATAGACCAACCAATCTTTGAGTAAAAATAAAATAATGATGCTGCCATCTTTCTAAAGTCATTTTTACACCCCCGTAAATTGGCTCCAAATCTCAGGTGAAAATTGTCATTTTGACTCCCGCTACAAAATAGTGGATTACTCAGTAAATATACATCTGTGACATTTAATATTTGGCTTTCATCACTATTTATGTTTGTCTTTCTACAGAAAAAATATTAACAAAATCAAAAATTTGAGCCAGGGACCTCTGGTTGAATTGACACGGAATGACCCAACAGCTTTTGCATCCCATGATGCCTTTTAAATGCGCACTAGGTTTAGGAACAGAGCTTATGTGTGCACATTTAAATGGAAGTTTCATTTAATTCCCACCAACGTCTCACAGATCTAGCAGACTAGGCCTCTTCTAGCTTTATCTGTCAATCTTATCTCTTTCTCGGAGTGGCAGCGTGCCTGTTGACCAGGGCACAGTAGGCGCCCAGTCAGCATGTGACAAAAGCAAGAGACTCATTTGTATGCCGAATGCGCTCCAATCATAAATCCGAGCCGAGAAGCACGGGAACGGGACGCGGCGATCCCAGACTACCAGCTTTTATCGCTAAAGAGTTTGACTGAAATCAGCTTTTGGTCTGATGATAAGTAAAGCGGTTGATGTTTCAATTATGCTAAATTCTTCAACAATCGTGAGAGATGTCACACGGTGCTGATGCATATATGTGGGAGGCTGGAACAAGAAGTAACATGAAAAGTGTTATGTGCTGGTGACATTAGCTTTCACTTTACCGATTAAATGTTCTGAACATTATGGCGTAATTATAATCCAATATGGTCTTGTCATACTGTCTGTTCCCAGCTGTTCCCTCCAGATCCCACATGGTGGTTTTCATCACTAGCCGATCAGCATCTCAATTCAGCAGGGATGCAGAGATGACATTCAGAATGATGTGATTTCAAGTTTTAAAGGAGCGTTCACCCAAATAAGACAATTCTCATGTTATCTGGTAGAATGTTTTTACTGTTTTTGTCCATACGAATGAAAGTTAATGGTATCCACTGACTTTCATGCACAAAAAACACTTAGACCTTTTTCAAAGCATCTTCTTTCCACAGAAGAATGTAAGTCATACAGGTTTGGAACAACATGAGCGTGAGTAAATGATTACAGAAGTTTCATTTTTTGGGTTAATTATATCTTTAAGTTAATTTGTTACTCGCACTACACTACTTGAATTAATTCAGAAGACTCAAGATATTGCACACATATCATATAGACTACATTTATGATCATTTTAAGGTGCTTTTCTGTCATTTTTTAACTTTGAACACTCCAGTCCCCATTTAATGTAATTGTAGGGACAAATACGTCTCCTTTCTCCTGTTTTGTTCCACAACAGAACAAAAGATGAGAAAATAATGACAAACTGTTATTTTTTTAGGCAAAATTCTCTTCACTTAATAGCCTCAGCTTTGGTTTTGGAGGAAAAGCCAGGTGTGGGAAGATGATCAACAGACACATTCTTGTTTGAAATGCCATTGCATTTATGATACATTTGCTGTAAATAGCAGATGGTTCATTAAGCTGAATTTGCAACCAAAAAGGGCTGAGAGGCCAAGATTACAGTGGACGCCTGTGTGTAAATGTGTATGCATGCATTTGTGTATGTGTGTGTGCCATCCCGGCTGGACTCCATCCATATTTCATGACTGATAAAGGTTTCGGTAGCTGTGTACACTTTCCAAGAGCAGCACTGTATATGCAGCCATTTTCCAGTATTCTCCAGATGTGGCTTATTATCGCCAATGTGGATAAAGAGAATCCTTTCCCAATTTGCCATAATATCATTCTACAATATGAGCACAGAGAAACAGAGGCTTTGTTTATTGTCCATCCCTCCCTGCCCCTTCAAACCACCTCTCTTCTTTGCTCTGACCTTCTCTCCTTCTAAGTGAAGAAATGACCAAATGTCACCCTGTTGTTTATTTGAGTAAAGCTGTTGTGAACGAGATCACAGAAGACCTGAGGTCCATGTGAACTTCTCTGTACTACTGGATTCCTCACGCCGCTCGACTGACTTTGTCTCTAGCTATCAGCCAATGAGAGACGGGCAGATTCCAGACTGCTCTCCAGCTCATCTGCCAAAAATCATCCTTCAAACTGTCAGCTGTTATCACAACAAACTTACAATATATAACAATTTAAAATAAAACCACTAAGGTTGTCATTTAACTTGTCCTGAAAATTTGGCTGCACTTAATACAAGCATTATTTTCATGTAATTTAGTCCATAATTAATTTATCAATATGTAAACAGGGTGTGTGTGTGTGTGTGTGTGTGTGTGTGTGTGTGTACACATACAGAGAAAAGAAAGACAGATCACAAATGCATTTAAAAACTCTTTAGATATATAGACAGACAGACAGATAGATCAACTAATAAAAAATTAACTGAACGTAAATTATTGGTTGCTGTTGATGCAATAACAGATAGGACTGATAAATGATGAATATATTTTTTGTTCTTGCATTGTTTCGATTTTAGATGTAAAATCATATTCTCAGTAAATGAATTAGAGCGTCTGTGTGAAGAAAGACAAAAGATCAGCCTTTACTGCGGCTATTTCTTCTTATTGCTGCAAGAGCCATTCAAGATGACCATTCAAATTAATGATGGAAAACAACAGAAACAATTCCAGCCGAAAAATGAAAAAAAAAATATATAATAAAAAAATACTACTAATAATAAAACCACTCGATGTGCATTATCCTGTCACTTGCCTTCAAGATTTTAAATGAGCGGAAAATGATGTGACATTTCATCTGCCATCAGATTGTGGATGTCACGGCTCATTATCGCACCTGCAGCGATTTAACTTGCGTTTTATTAACGATGCGGCAATATAATGTAAATATATTACTTACCAACGCCATATTTTTCATGTTCAGTCGGTATCCACATTTTTTCCCGCGTCAAGTGAAATAAAATGTGCTATAAAACAGGGCAATTACGGCGGGCACTATCCATATTGTTGTTACACAGGGTTGCACTGTATTGTTCTGAGGGCAGAGCCACAGCAGCATCCCACATACACCACACTTCTCAGCCCTGAAGAAAAACACCATTGCCTCATGGGAGATGTAGGAAATGAATGAGAACGCTTGGATAGAAAACTACAATGCCCATAAACCGCACACTAAGCTGTGGTTTAACTCTGATTGGTCAATGAGCCATCTACAGGTCACGTGACTTAAAAAAAAACATGGCAGCTCAGATGCACAACACATTCTCTGACAACACTAATTTGACAGGTTGGTTAACCAAATTAAACATATTGGCAGATATGTTGGCATTATATTGCTTTGTTTGCGTTTATTTTTATGTTTACATTTTTAAAAAGCTCTATTTTGATTTTCCTAAAAATGCCCGCCAGCTACCTATTGCATGTTAGATGATTATTACCCTAATGCAAGTTTGTCATCTGTTTTTCATGGCACATGTGCATGATGAGGTTGTTTTTGGTTTAGTTTTTTAAAAGGACACCGGATAATAGATAATAACTTGTCATTTTGTAATACTCATCTGGATTGGTGGTTTACTCGTCAAAGCTAGTTTATGTCACCCAGCCCTGCAAATCTGGTCACCTAGAATAGATGATGGAAAGCAGCCAAAAACCCTTTTAAATCAGCGACAGACCAGTATGACCGGTTTGGCAGTCCAGCTCAAACCAGTAGACCATCTTAGACTAGTTTAAGCTGTTTCCCCCCAGCAGGGAGTGGGTGGTTGAGTTGTTATGGATGAACTATCTTTCTACTAGATGGTCAGACAGCGACCCTTTAATCTGTCACTGCAAAAGCTCACTTTGAATAGGCAAAACAACTAGGAGCACAAATGTATCAAGTTTTCGAGAATAACCTGCTGTTTACATGAGTCAGACCTTCATTCTGTGTGAATCAGCTGCTTGTTTGTGTGATGACATCATGCGAGACAAGGGTTTCTCGAATTAGTTCAAAGGCTTCAGTCGTTTATAAAACACAAATACATTTGTGTGTGTGTCATATTTAATGAATGTATTAAGCTGTGTTTGTTTTCTCTCTATTTCTAGGTGAGCAGGATTGTATACTAGAGCCGCTTTGTTTCCCTGAGCAGCTGTGTGGTAGCTCTTGTCTCGCCGCCTCCAGCGATGGCCATCCGGTGACCTGTGTGCTCTGTTCCGACTCTTTTCCCTCTCTTGAAAAAGACCAACTTCTTAAGCACATGGTGTTGGATCACAAACTGGTTATTGCTGATGTCAAACTCATCGCAGACTTTCCACAGTGAGACTTTACATGATTTGTAACCTACATGTCTCAGCATTTCTCTAAAGAGATATTAGACCAGTACAATACAAATAACACAAAATAATGAAACCTTTTTTATTGATTTGTTGCAGGTATATGTTGTACTGGAAGAAACGGTTTACAGAACTAACTATCACAGACTTCTGCAGTGTTATCAAGACCAATTCTGAAGGTCCTGAAGGTAAGAAACATTTGAGCTAAACAATTTCGTATTTGCATTTTGTATTAGTTAGTTGCTATAGAATTTACAATAAAATCATTTAAAATAATTTTTAATTCCTAACTTAAGTACTAAAATTACTAAAACTAAAAGTGAAATAAAAATTAACTAAGACTAAAAAGAAAAAACTAAACTAAGCGCATAATAAAATCTAAAAATAAAAATAAATAAAAAATATGAATAAATACTATAATAGTACATAAATAATTCTAAAATAACACTGGTCTGAGAAATACCCCTTTAAATTGTATGATTTAAATGTGATGTCTAAAGTCTTGTCCTTTTTACACTGGACTCTTAATAACCAAAAAGCTGCTTTGTGTCATTTTAGAACAACAAGAGCTCTACTTCCTATTATGTGATGCGCTGCCAGAGGACAGAATCCTTAGAGAGCAGCTTCAACAGAGACGACTGGTGAGTGTCTGTAAAAAGACAAGGACCTGCGGTCAGGAGTGCTGCTCTGGGATCAGCTCTAACCCTGGGTGACATTAGCTTATGAATATTCAAAACTGATCCTACAGCAGCACAGATTCCAGTCGGACTAATATGCAGAAACCCTAGAATATGAGTGACACCATCATACGATTAGTCTTTGTGTATTTTCTCTTCTCAGATATTTTCTTTTGCATTTAAATGTTACATTACATTTAGATTTTATTATTATTATATATATATATTTTTAAATTATTTTATTGAAATAATTGTATGGTAAAAATGTTATTGAAAAATGCTGATGTACTGATAGTAGTAAATAATAGTAGTTTATAACGGGCGTAGGATATTATTAATATAAATCTGAATGTGTTCATCTGAAAGAAGAAAATTATGGAATAATTTACATTTTTGGGTGAACTAACCCTTTAAAGTCCCCCTGTGGTGAAAATCAAGCTTTAATGTTGTTTATATGTCTATGCGGTGTTTAAAATATGCTTTAAGACGAACCATGTGCAAATTCATAAGTCAACACTATTGCTGAGTAATTTACATAGACTGTAAAAAGATATTTCTCCTTAAAACTGCAGTGAACCAAAGATAGTCTCAAAAACGCAGTTTAATATCACTGGTGTTTCTGACGTCACAAACTACCTTGTTGTAACCGATCAGGTCAATGTGTGATCGACAACGAGTGGATCTCTGAGCTGGTGTGAGTGAGTGGAGGCGGGGCTAATTTGCATATTCATAGAACCGTGTGTACTAAATGAGGCAAGGGTGTAAAGTTACATTCAAGCTATTTAAGGCATTTTAAGTTGTTTTTTTCCAAGGAAAAAACTTTAAAATATGTCATTTTGGGGATCAAAGATGAGTTTCAAGGGATAAAATTATTGACTACAGGGGGACTTTAATTATTTTTCCTACCCACAAATCCTAATACATTAAACAGGAAATGTAATTTTATAGATTTAAAATGTTATTACATTTTGTTAAAAGATTATTGAAACAAACCTATTTTTGTTTTAAAAGCTTATGAATAATGTGAACTGATTTATCGCGTGGAAAGTTATTAAGTATAAAGCATCCATTCTGATTTCTTGTTGCAACAATTCAAAACCACAATATTATTGTATGACAAAAGTAATACAGCAGGAATCCAGTGGTTACGTACTGTACCTGAAAGTACCAGTGTTCAGTGAAAATCCCCACTCCCCCCACACAGATTGTTTTTGCAGAGATATTATTATGAGTCAACATAGTCATCATACACACATTTCATCTCTGGCAAAAAATCAGCGATTGTGGTTGCTAGGCAACCTCTGCAGTCGCTCTGCAGTGTGGCGACCAGCTGTTTAACAGTGCAGCTGTGACCTTTCTCAATCATTCGGTGACACGCTGCACGTCGATGAAACTCGAGCCGAGAGGATTAGCACTGTTTATCAAACACCAATCATTTGCAGATTGCGTCTGCGATAATTATCGATGATTACGGCAATCGAACAGCGGGTTTTCAGAAACGCAGAATGATAAAAACACACCACACTGAGATTCATACCAATTACGAATATTCTTTATAGGCTCACAATTATGTAACCAAATCCTAATGCTTCTAATGCTAGATAAGTCTGTGATGAAGTTTGATATGTTTTGATAGGAGAAAGTTCTGGAGCAGCAGCAAAAAGAGAGGGACGACACAACGTTTCATCGCACATGTATGTTCTGCAGTGAGGAGTTTACTGGAAACAGGTGACTATTGCTTCTGAATAGACCTTATTCAGAGCAGCGCCGTGACAGGTATGAAGCGAGGCTGTGAGGGATAGACTTGCTGTGTTTTTAGTGGGATCCGCTGTATAAAGCTCCTAGATCACTTATCATTTTCCAAAGGTCATGTTGTCTAGAGTTTTTTTTGTCTACTGAAGTTTCTTGAAAAGATATTTTTGCAGTGTTTCATCAGTAGAACAATTTAAAAACATTGTGTCCGGGAATGTCTGTCCCTCACAGCCTCCCTTTCATTTCCATTAAAAATCAAAGATGGCGCTGTAGTGAATAAGGTCTATGGGTCAGACACACACACACATCCTGCTGATATTAAATGATGTAACCTACTACCACTGTCAGTTGCATTTAAAACTCATTTCTGATTCATTCCTTATTCTAGGATCTATACATTTAATTTCTAATCATAATTTAAGTGAAATTGTTGACATTTTAGTTTTGTCCTCTTGGACATGACCTCTACAACAGATTCAATCTCTGATTTATTTAATAATTATTATTTATAAATAGCAATTATTTATTGAAATAAAATATTCTTTAAATTAATATATATATATATAATTTAATAATTGTATTTATTTATTTTATATTGTATATATACAATATATATTATATATATATATATATATTGTATATACATGTACAATTAAAAAAAAAAAGAATTGAATACATATTTAAATTATTTTCTTTTAAATCATATACGTATATACAATTTATATACTATAATACATTTGGCATGAAACATCTGCAAGGCCATGCAACTCAATTTGCATAGGAAAATCAAAATCTAATCATACCAAGATGAAGACTTTGCACATGAATATTAATTAGCTAATTTAACTAAATGGCCTAGACAGATTACCTTGCTGTCTTGGAGTCAGAGTGAGCTAAGCAAAATTCACGAATACAGTTTTGTTCTTCATTCCTCCACTCTGACGCTCATCTAGATATAAACTGCTATGTTTGCTTTATTATTTTAGGATGAGTTTTTTGCAACTCACAGTATCAAACTGCACTGCATATTAAATGAAAGTGCTGTATTTGTACCCTGTTCTGTCACTGCAGGTCTTCACTGCTGAACCACATGGCTAAAGAACACTCGTTCAGCATCGGCCTGCCGGACAACATCGTCTACTGCACAGAGTTCCTCCACACTCTGGAGTGGAAACTGGAGAAGTCAGAGTTTTAAGATTTTATCCAATACATACATATATATAAAATCATACTATTATTATCACAAATTAAAATGGAAATGGAGAAGGAGTGAACGCCCTCTTTTGGTGCTTGCTGTCATTGCATTAATCCCAAATCACCAAGTTGGGTTAGTTTTTGGGTCAGTGACATATAAATAGAGAGAGGATGCAAAAATGAAACATTTTAAAGGCATAATGCAAGTTATTTTACACAGTGTATGTATATATATATATTTTTTAGATCTTTTTAAATATATATTTCTATATATTGTATATTTCAAGTTTTGTAGTTGTCCTATGAATTTGTTAAATCCATTGACTGAATATCTCCTGTTATTCATTTTATTTATTAATTCTTAGTATTTTTCAAGCTAGTTAGTTTGGCCCGTTGTCCCATATAACATTAAGGCACTTTTCAAGCATAATGTTTTCGATAACTAAAACCATTTACTTAAATATTGTATCATTTTAGTTTACAAACTAAATAATTGTATATTTTAAATTGGCTTAGGAAATCATAATAAGCACTGACCCTTACATTGTAAAATATAAAAAGTAAAGATGAAAAGATTGTGAAACTAGACCTTCATATTAACATTATTTTACATAGCATGCAGTGTCTGTACTGTGAGAAGACATTCAGAGACAAAACCACCTTGAAAGATCACATGAGGAAAAAGCAGCATCGACGGATTAACGCCAGAAATAATAACTACGATCGCTTCTACATCATCAATTACCTGGTATGTCCGTGTATTGGTTTGTAGTGTGTTTCTCACCTGAACGAATAAATTCCCAGAATGAAATCTATTTCGCCCTGTTTACACTATTGCAGGAGTTGGGGAAGACATGGGAGGAGGTGCAGTCTGAAGATGACAGGGAGATGTTTGAAGATGAAGAGGAGTAAGACCTTCGTCTTTTTACTTGATCTTCAGAGGCTGTTTGTCACATTTTCAGTTTTATTCTCATTCCTGATATTCTGCGATCTCTGCAGCGATTGGTCGGACTGGCAGGCCCATCCCGTGTGTGCCGTGTGTCTGTTTTGTGAGCAGCAAGCGGAGACAATGGAGAAAATGTACACACACATGGAGGTAAATGATACCGTTCATATATTTGAGTGCTTCTAAAAAGTATTCCACATGTATTTTCTATGCATTTTTACATCAGCATCATTAATATATTTTTTTTTCCAGGAAACTCATGAATTTGACCTGCACAAATTAAAAACGGACTTAAGTGAGTATAATTGCATGAAGAGAGATGTAGGCCTGTTTTTGAGAAGAACCCATGACCACACAGAAGCTCTTGAATGTCATGTGTGTCGTTTGTCCAGACCTAAAGTTTTATCTGCAAGTCAAACTAGTGAATTACATCCGCCGTGAGCTTCACCAGTGCCGCTGCTACTGCTGTCAGGAGAAGTTTGAGAGCAAAGAGGAACTAGTGCAACATCTTGTTAACAAAGGTCATGTGATGCAGCTGCCTGAGGTCTCGCACTGGGACCAACCGCAGTAAGTAGCACTTCTTCACATGACCATTTCTTTGGTATTTATGTAAAAAATATTTATATCATTTATTTTAGATTATATTTTTATTATATAAAATATTAGTCAATAAAGACTGTGGAATTGAAATGAATTATATCTGTAATTTAAAAACGAAATTCTTTTATATTTTAAATTGGCTCAGAACATCAGAATGAGCACTTACTCTTATACTTAAAAAGTAAAAAAAAAAAGTATTTATAATAAGTCCTCTATTATGCTTTTTTATATTTTCAGCTTTCTTTAGTGTGTAATGTTGCTGTTTGAGCATGAAAAAGGTCTGCAAGGTTACAAAGCATAAAGTCACTCCAAAGGAAGTTATTCTCTAAGTCAGTGCGCACTGTTTCTGAACTTCCATTGTGGTCTTGAGTTTTCTTATGGGAATGAACATGTGACAATATTACTCATTTAAATCATACGCAAAATAGGCGAGGCCTGGTTGAGTTGTGTTAGTAGTGTGTTGAAACTTGCGGTTATGGTAAGGGGCGTTACATTTATGAAACACGATTTAAGCGGTTGACCAATCACAACACACTGATCCAGCTGACCAATCAGAACTCATTGAGCTTTTCAGAAGGAGAGGCATCATAGAGACAGGAACTTAACCGAACGTTACTGACGGACTGAGAACAGAGGTGCTGCAACAATGTAAAATATATGAAAAATCATGTTTTGGGGGGGTTACATTCAAGCATAAAAAGCTATTCTAGTAGACCCCAAAAACAAAATCAAGACTTTGTAAAAGGGCATAATATGGTCTCTTTAAAATATGTGCTGTTTTTCCAGATACTACTTTCCTACGTACGAGAACGACGCACTTCTTACAGCTCTGTCGGACAGCGAGAGCGAATCTGAGGGTCCAAATCACACCTCTAAAGTTCCTGTTATTGCTGAAGACATTTCAAACCTGAAGGTCTTAAAACAGAATAGTGTGCTTGGTAAACTTCTCAAAGACAGGGGCGGCTCCAGCTGAAGATGAGAGAATCATGTTCAAATGATGTTCCAATGTAAAAATGAATATGTTTAGTTTAATGCTGTAATTATTCAGTTCTATTCATATGGGTGCAATGCTCACATCGTGAAAAAAAAGTCAAATAAAGTATTTATTTACATATGCCATCAGTGGATCATTGGAAACCCTAATCAAAAGGATTTGAAAATATCTTGGTTTAAAAATATTTAGCATTGGCTTTTTGTTTGGGAATTTTGTCTCATGGCTGGATAGTGCAGTCAAGTAGTATTGGTACTATAAATATTAACAGGTGTTTTAATAAAGATATTGCCAGAATAGTCTACACACAACACCTTCACTGTAATCTCCATACACAGGTCCATTAACACTAATGATGCTAAATTATTAAGAATAGTCAGCAGATATTCAAAAACAATATTAAATCAAATTATAGAGCATTAATTTACAATATCAGTATACAAAATATCAGAATATAGTTTAATATACTTTCAAACACACTGAAATCTTTCTCCCTCACGTGAAATTCACAATTGCATATAACATATTCGCTGAACAATGGTAAATTTGACAGCACCTTTAGTGAATCTGCATTTTATATTTTTTTTAATATCTGTCGGGAGAATAAAAACAATTCCATACATGGTTGCAGTAAAAGAGCAACTCTTTTATTCATATCAAACTCATTCTCATGTCTGATTTCATACACGCAAACAATCATTGAAATCATCCCAGCATCTCGTTCATTCTTTGCTGAAGTCATTCGAAGGTTTCTTTAAAAAACCGACAACGCTTTAGACCTTTTCATAGGTCTTAAATCAATAAATATTGCATATTTCACTCTTTTTGGTGAGGACTAATCTTACACAAGGCACTTCAGAACATGTTACCTGTCTTGTCCGTAATAGAACTGCTATAAATACTAGCAACACACAATATTAGTCAAATGACACAAATATAATGAACTAAATGAGACCAACCAAAGTATAAACATTTTTTCAATTTATAAAGGGCAGTAGAAAATCTTGTTTTGTATAAACAAATACATCAATACAAATACACTTCTCCAATAGACATATCTGAATGTGTGGGTTATAGTGTTAAACGCACACTACGTCCCTTGTATAGACGACAAATTTAAGGCTGTGCTTTGTTTAGTGCAGTTAAGAAGAGGCACTCTTCGATAGGTTTCACACTGTGCTGCTGGATCTCGTTCTGACGCTTTAGAGACGCTGCATTCAACTGTTCAGTGCTGATACATTCAGAATTTAGAAGTTTTAAAGCTAATAGTCTTGAAAACAAGTTATAATGAGAAGTGATTACAATGGCAGTGGGAGTTAAAAAAATCAGTAAGCTCAAAGCTGTAACAGCTGAAATGGTTAGTGGGTGCAATGCTGTTAAGCCCATCAGTAACGTATTGCATATAAGAATATGTGGATCTCATAAAAAGCATCTCTAGGTCAAACTGAACCCCATTATCAAAAGGAAATTATTAATTTTGCATAAAGAAAATAAAGCCTATTTTAGGATCAATGTTTTTTTTATTATTTTCATGGAAATTAAGGATAGAAACCTCATTTATGTTTTATTTTGTAATAATTCTCATTGCATTTTTTCCGGTAATAATCTTAGTATATGTTGAATAATTGTAAATAATATAACCTATTTTAAATAAAAATTTGCATTATATAAAATAATTTGCATTATGGCAGTGACATCATTTTCATGTAATCATGATTTTTTTACTGTAATAAATTTTGTGTAGGTTGGATACTTTATGTAATATAAACATTTTTTTAATTATAATTTTTTTTAATCAATTTTTAATTTTTTCAAATTTTTCAAAATTTTTAATTTTACACATAGTAATTACGGGGATTTATAACTAAATAAAATGCTTTTTCAAATTACAATAATTACATTTTTTTCAGTTCGGTAATGAACTAAAAGTATTATTTCAATGACAATTAATTTAAAAGTATTTCTTTAATATCTTTGTGTCTGTCTACCTTTTGATTATGAGATGATCTATGACCCTGACATGATTAGTTTCACCCTTGCAGACTGATGAATTTGTTTAGAAACCAAAATGACATTCTTGTAAATTACGTTGGCCAATTTTGAGCTTTTCTTTACCCTCACAAACACCTGAGATTTCATAAATTGCTGCTCTGGTCCATACAACTTAAAGCTGCCGTAGGCGAGCGTCACCTGACCATGTCTGCTTACAGTACCCTCACACTCTCAGTCCTGTTTCACGATTTAACCAGCTTGAAACCCTGGCCTGTATCAAGCACCGCAGGCGGGAACCATGTGAGTTTGATCCTTCGGAGCAGCCGAACACAGTAGCTGCAAACCCAAAACAGGTTCAACCCGCCGCACCAGTGGGCGAGCTGAACCACAGGGTAAGTCAAGCGAGGAAAGTAGAGTCTCCAGTGCCTGGTGACGTCGCTATCAGAGGGCAGGTGAAGCTTGTAGTCACTCCAGAGTCTGGAGATGCCATAGGCAGCTCGGACGGACCGCCCACGATTGGACCACCGAACAATGCTGTCAGGGTTGCAGTTAAAATCGACCCACTGACAGGTGAAGTCCCCGAGCTGAGGCGTGTCCTGGATCTCCAGGTCTGTGGGACTAGAGAGCACTGCCCCTTGAACCGCAACATAAAGTCCCTCGATTTTCTGCACCTCCTTCACCCAGGGGAGTGAGTTGTCGGTGTCGAGAATAATGATGAGGCGGGAACAGGATCCGGCGTTCTTCTCCCTCCAAAGCTGCACAATCTCATCTAGACGCAAAACATCGCCACCTGATTCAATAAAAAGGGGGGGGGGAAATAATTCTTTACGATGTCATCAGAGTTTAGCTAAACTCCATATGCATATTATCTTTTTGAATGTATATATTATGTAAATAGCATGCACATTTTAATGTCAAATCAACATCCACATCATATTTCTCAACAAAATCCCAAGAAAATAACTATATAACTATAAAAAAAAATACATATCATCCATCTATGTACACAATTAAGCTCATTTTCTTCTGTAACAGAATTTTCTTAATTTAAAAATATATATATTTTTGTTTAAATTGCAAAATGTTTATACATCACGGTTATATTTGCTGTAATACCTTTCATTTATTCTGATTCTAATATATACATATACAAATGTTTTTCCTCACATATCCTAAGTTATTTTCATTACTATATTACCGTACCTTTAAAAAACATAAGGATAGGTTAGTGATTTTTTTAATTAAAATTAGCATAAATTAAAGACATAAAAATAAAATATAATTCATTTTCAAATACACTAATATTAATAATTTAAAAAAACTATTACGGTAATGAGAATTGGAGGAAAATACATTTATTTTTTAAATGTTAAATGGTCAATATTAGATTTAATTTTCTCATTTTTTGGACTACAGGTGATTGTTCTTGAGTCAGAACTTGTGAGATTCACCCAGATGTCTGTTTCTACAGGTAAAAAGTGATGTAAATGATTGTCCCACCTGCTAGAGCCCACTCTCCACTGCGGTGGGTGTGGCCACTATAATAGAGCACGTAGGAGTCGTGTCGTGGGCCGTCAGCCGTGTGCGCCTCCATGAATATGCGGAGCTTGGCTTGCAGGGCTTCCAGACACAAGCCGCTCGTGGAATAATCACAACCGTAGGTCTCAATCATGTGATGAGAGAAGAAGCGTTGCACGTTGTTCAGCATCCCTGTGGATCGCAAGTTGAGCTCATGCACATGCGCCGGGGGCAGGAGTGTGGGCTGACCATCTGGGCTGAGAGAGAAAGAGAGGACGAGGTAAAACACTGACCCTCTGTGCAAGTTACTGAGTAATCAAGTAGCAGAAGTATTCGATGTCAGTGTATATTTGGACAGTACCTGCAATAGTTGGTAGGAATCACCACAGCATAACCGACACAGGTTCCACCAAGACTGTTTCCCAGCTCATGGAAGAGGCCGTGGGCTAGTGATTCAAGAGGCAGGACCAGCAGAAACAAGGCAATAAACAGACTGTTGGACGGCTGTAGGAGGGAGAAAAAATACATTTAAGACTTCCAAAGAAAATCAACGTTCTTATTTTAAGGCAGATATTTTGACCAAGCAAACTTACAAAAATTTTTTGCAGTATGACGCACTAAGAGCCACTGAATGTATGCCTGAATGTCTACTGAAATGGGTTAATGACACAACGCCCCTTTTTCCAGATCTATTAGTTTATTAAAAATACAAATCAAAAGTTTGAGGTCAGGAAGATTTTTATTCTTAATAAGGATTTTAATACTTTTATTCAGCAATTATGCATTAAATTGGTTGGTAAATAAAGTCATTTAAGATTTCTATTTTCAGCAGAAATATTTTCAACATTGACGATAATAACAGTAAATGTTTCTTGAGCAGCAAATCTATATATTTCTGAAGGACAGCGTGACACTGAAGACTGGAGTAATGATGCTGAAAATTCAGCTTTGCATCACAGGAATAAAATTACATTATTAAATATTTTAAAATAGAACAGTTATTTTAAATTGTAACTATTTTTCACAATATTGCTGTTTTTACTGTATTATTTAAGACTCTTTTAAGAAAAGCTTGTTTTTAGTTTCTGAAAATTCTTTTTTTTTTAATTACAAATGACTTTGATTCCAAAATTAAAAAGTAGTTTTGCTAAATCTTCTATTTCTTTGAAATAAAATATATATTTAACAAAATTGCATTACCACTTATTAATAATTGATTCACTAGTAGGCTCTTATAGACCAACGTCATGTGATGTGACTTGTCACTTCCAAAAATAATGTATGATATTTATTAAATAATAATTTATAAATGAGGATATTTAAATAATAATAAATAAATACAACTTATATGTACCTTAAAATATTTTTAAAACTTTATTGAAAGTATGAGCTTCACTCACATGCATTCAAGGTGTAAGGAAAATATGTTATCAATTTTTTAGAGGCATTATATGAAATGTTTTTAATATAATTTTCAAAAGACACATATGAAACCAACATAAATACAAGAACTACATTTCTAAGAACTTGGCACACACATTTTTAAAAGATTTTCACAGCAAATATTACCTGCCAACCCAGAGCCCCCAGTATGATGGTGGACATCAGGCTGAAGAGCACCAGGCGTTTTGAGATGAGGCAGAAGTGTCGCATCCCCTTAGACGCCATGACCCTGTCCAGTTCTCCAGCCTCTGATGTGTGCACCATGCACATCCTCTGACAGTCACTCAGCTTACTGTGAAAACCCCACAGCGTGACGAGGAAAACCAGGTGGCAGATGATCCAGAAAATGGTGAATGCTGAGAGACCCGGGATGAGCAGGTACCACCGATCCAGATCTCTCATCTTCAGAGCGGCCATGACCAGAAACATTACCTCCACGATAACCAGAGGAAGAAGAGTTAAGTGTCTCCACAGGCCTCTTCTCGACAGGAGTGGTGACCAGCGTTCAGTGACCGAAAGTCCACTGAAGTAGACGTCCAGGAATGGGTCGCAGACGAGGCGGCTGAAGAAGCAAGACAAGGCGAAGGGGTTGGTGAACATTCCTAAAGTCTCCTCGAAGAAGAATGCAGCGATCCCAGAGAAACAGGTCAGGTTTAGGAAGGCCAAGAAGGACTTCATGCGTAAGTCCACGATTACAGCGGCCAAAGCGAGTGTCAGGACTACAAGGCTTATAGATTTGTTGCCGACCAGGGTCGTGCTGGCCACAGCGAAGCCTGTGAGCTCCAGAGCTTCCCTTGAGGTGAGGAAAGCGGGTTGATGTCGAGTATAACCGCACATTCTTTCAACCAAAGCCCAAAGTATTCGTATAACCATGCTCGCTATTAACATACAGTTGGCCACCTGTTCCTTGATATCAAGCTCTTTGGACGGGACACTGATGAAGCACAATAAACCCAGAAGGAAACCAAACCACAGATGCAACAGAAAGAGGCTGACGCTCTCCATGCCGAAATAATAGTGGAGAATGCAGGCAATCCCAAGAACAAAGAGGCCCAAAATAAAAATGACCAAGATGATAGTGTCTGCAGTTTTCTCCCATTGTACATAAATCCCCAGGCAAATGGCCACTAGGGAGGTCAGACTGGACAGATAACCGAGGTAACGGATGGATGACCATGTGCTGACCCCTTTGTTGGCTTCATCCAGCTGGGTCATCGCAGCGTAAAGGGAGTGGCTCAAGAAATACTTGAGCAGCTTGCACATCGCTGCAGAGTTAAAACTCGCACAACTACAGAAAAATTAGCGTCGCGAGTGACGAAGTTATACGTCACAATAGCAAAAAATTATTAGTGGCATTAGCATTCATCAAAACGGATGTAAGAACATGTTGTGGTGTGGATTTGAGGTACTAAATCGAGACATTTTAGCGCAAACGTCAGAGTAGCATCTACAATCAGAAAGTGGATTGTCAATATCCACCTGTTACTGCTGAATAAACCGAGCTATTCAACTCAAGGTCATGTTATGATGACTAAAATTAAGACGTGAAATAGATGTGAAAATGTTAAACTGCTTGAAGGCTATAAAATAAAATAAATATAAGAGCAGAACAGTTGTAATGTGCTGTCAGTCTGAATTAGGCGAGCAGATTCCAGTCTATTTACCGGCATCAGAAAGTTGCCTGAATGTGTCGTTTCTCTACATGAGGAGAGTAAAAGCGATTAAATCAAAGCTAAAGAAATACGACAGCAGATATGCAAGTCATTGGTTATTGTCGTTAGCAGAAAAACAACTGAAACTGGGGTAATTTGTCGCAAAATATCCTCGAACCATCGTCAAAACTTCACCCAGTGTCCGCCATATTTGCACATCGGTATTTAAGCCGCTACGGAATCCTTGAAAGGACAAAAGCGTCCATCATCCTCGCAGTGAAACGAGGGTGAATGAAGTATCACGTGATGCTTCAGAAATCATTATGATATTCTGATTTGCTTCTCAAGAAACATTTCTTATTATTATCAATGTCGATATCAGTTTTGCTTAATAATTCTTTGAAAAATATGACACTTTTCAGGATTCTCTGATTAAAAAATATAGAAAGAACACAATTTATTCGAAATAAACAATCTCTTGTAAAACTACAGATGACTTTACTGCCACTTTTGATCAATTTAATGCAACCTTGCAGAGTAAAAGTATTCTTTTTTTTAATCTTACTGACATCAGACGTTTGAGCAGTAGTGTAACTTATTTGAAAGTGACAAATGGATTTTTGAGAACTAGAATGAAATCGCACTACAACATATCAATATTTAAAATGTGTTCTGTCAGAAATGAAATGCATATGATCCTACATGACAAGTATTTAAAGCAACCTGCTATAGTCAAATGAAAGACCAGAGAGAAGGCAACAAAAACCTTTATTTATAAAAGATGAATGACAATAGTTCTCACAAACAGCCCGTTCCTGTGGGAGTCAACCATCTTAACACTGATAAAGAAAATCAATCATGCAAACAGTGGATTAAAGCCTGGGGAAGACAAATATGTTTGATATGTGAATGTTTTAACACACCACCAAGTAAACATTTTAATACAAAGATTTTTTTTTTTTTCAATAGTTTTAAAATATTTTTTCTCAGACTTATAAATCGAGTACAGACTAAAGAACACCTTTAAATGCTATTGCTAATAGGGCAGTATTGTTAGTAATTTATCTAGGAGCTGGTTAATTCGCTGAAAGTGTGTACTGTAACTGTTTATTGTGGGACAGAAAATTAGCTTACTTTCAAATGACAATCAGTAGCCTGTTCTTGCATCCATTCCATATAATCACAAATGCAAAAATACAATTTGGGTTTGAAGGCACCTTGAGGAGGATTTTTTTTTTCTGATACCCTGAAAGATCACATACTGAATTCATTCACCGTTTAAAATCTTTCCACACTCATATTTGGCACCCCACAACACATTTAAAGTGCCCAACACCAAAACTTCACATTGATACTTCAACAGAACCCCAATGTACATCTCATCACACACTCCTTCAGGAGTAAAGACTCATCACAGCATATTCTCATATCATCAGGTTAACCAATCGGTAACCACATTAATACAATAGAAAACAGTGCCTAATATCAGTTACTCAATATAACTACCAGGTTATAGTGATATGGGGCATTTTTGACCGTTTATGATTATGAACGTATTGCTATTCTAATGAAGTGCTGATGCCAATCTCGATATTTTGCCAACCCTATGGAAGGTGTAATCGAAAACGTGCAAATATGTGCTTGGACATTTAATATAGTGTTTTTAAGAACCTGGAGTGAATAAAAAAGCTGCAAATTCTGCAATTACAAACACAGGAGCTAAAAAACATACAGTGATATGCAACAATCTTTTGATAGTACTTCAAATAAACTGTTTGTGAAACATTTGGCAAAGTACTTTCCAAACTTTTGTACCTTAAAAGTTCTATTTTATAATTGAAAGTGGGAAGCTAAAATAATATACTGAAGAACTCAATTAGATATTATACACCAGATTACAATACAGAAAGAAGATTTAAAGCAACTGAAGGTTTCGAGAGTAAACAGTCAAGAGTAAACAATCATCCTACTCAAAGTCACATTATGGCAAAATGCACAAAACTCTAATCTGTTCCACACTACATACTACTGACAAGTTATTGGATAGTACTGGTTATAATAGCGGTTTGATCGCAACATTAGAAACATGTTACCACAACACATGCATCCAATCTGGTCACCTGTAAGATTGTTTGTTCTGAAAATCTACGACTACTTCGCTTGATTTGTACCTTGTTGAAGCGAGAAATCCACATTCACAGTTACAACGTCACATAACCAAACACGCACAAGTTCTGCAGACACCTAAAATGCTACAAATATCATTGATAAAGGCTATTCCAAAAAGTTGGTTGAACAGATGGCTGAAATCTCCATCCAAAATGTCCAGTGGAAACTTGCTGAGAATCAAACCATTAAAGGGTTAGTTCACAATTTCTTTTTTTTTGTCATTTACTCACCATCATGTTGTTCCAAACCTGTATGACTTCCGTTACTTTAATGTTAAAGAACTGTTTTTGTCTTTACAATAAAAGTCAATGGGGTCCAAAACAACATTGTTTTGGACCCCATTGACATTCATTGTGTGGACATAATAACAGTCATAAGTCATGGGTTTGGAACAAAACGAGAATGAGTATTTTCTATTTTGCCGGAACTATCCCTTCAAGAAATACAACTGAAAAAGAATAACACAGTATAGTAACTCCGGCCAAAAGGTATGACACCGGTGATAACTACGCCTAAGTTGTAACTTATGCTAGGTTTGTCTAGTTGACAGTCATTCTGAGTGAGAAAACAGCCAAAGCGGGTGAGCTAAATCTTCCTCAACCTGATATCACCCAGCTGCTTCTGTTACAAAACCAAATCACTTCTATTTCTAAGTTAAGATTGTGTAGTGTGTGTTTGTTTGTGTTCAAAGGGATGTCTTGCACGCTCTTAAAAATCAACGCCCACTTAAACGTCCTCATTCACTCTGTGCAAAATTTTTGCTGCTTAAAAAGGGGTCGAGTGCACAAACAGCAGAGCAATTTTGGCAGCATGATGGTAAGGTACTAAATATCAGGAGGGGCAGTAAACAAGTTCAGCTCTGGAGCAAAATGGGGTCTTCCAGCTCGTGGAAGGGCGCCGAGCTGCTCTGGCTCTCGCCCGAGTCCGAATCGTATGGCGTGTCCGGCAATTCCGCGAAGCTACACGCTAACATGTCGTCCTCGAAATCAGAGCGCGGAGGCTCGTAGCAATCTGTGAATCCCTCCTCATCGATCGTGTTAAAGTCCTGCGGGATGTAAAGCATCTCCGGGTAGTTGCGGCTGACCAGGTCGCTGCTGGTGGTGGATGACACCTTGCGGAAAGCAATCAGGTGCATGTGGGAGAACTTGACGTATTTGTAGCGCTTGAAGCCCAGAGACTCCACTGCGACTCGCCAGCTACGCATCATAAGCGCATGCCGGCCCTGGTGGGAGGAGTCAGGGGTGATGATGAGGAGGAGGCCGTTCAAGGTCAGAAGTTCATGCGCTTTCTTGCAGCAGAGCCAGCGCTGATAGGGTGAAGGGAAGTAGGAGAGAAGCAGGGAGAAGACCACCACGTGAAACAGCTGGGCAGGTAAAGCGTCGATGGGGCCGCGCAGATGCCGCAGGAAGGCATCCAAGGCATCGCTGGCCAGTTGCAGAGGCTGCTGCAGCTGCAGGTTAAGAAAGTCGCATTTGTAGACACTCTGTAGCCATAAAAAGGACAAATGGGGAAAGGAGAATCAGAACATTTCGCTTTACTATGCAGGACAGGTAAAATTAGTATAAGGGTCAATGGCAAATAAGATAAAAAAATCTTTTACAAATCTAGTAAACAGTAAGTTCTAAGAAACCTACTCTTCATATACATGTTGGATTTAAAAAATAACAGACTGATTCCCAACATTAAACTGAAGCCCTGTTCTATTTCTGATGTACTACATATGAAGAACAAATGGATTTGCAACGGTCGCTCTATCTGGCTGCATCCAGTATAGATACGGTGTAAGAAATCAACGGTAAAGAAAACGTAATTTAACCAATAATTGAAATCACTAAACTTTAGTTAAGGTAGATGCCATATTTAATTTGATGAGAAAAAAATAGACAGACGTAACATCCGTTCAATAGTTTCATTCAAATAAAAAAAAAAAAGGTCTATAGTATAACTTCAAGGAACACAAACCTCTACTGCTGGCACAATGTCGATACCGACAGTCAGAAACTCATCAAACTTCAGGAAGGGATTGAAACAGCTGCCCACATCCAACAGTCGTATCCTCCCAAGCTGGAACATTGAGCGGTTACTAAGCATAAATAAAAAGCTGATTTAGTCAATGAACTTGTTGCCATGTAGAAAATCTTTGTGGATTTGCAGTGGTAAAGTTGTCATTCTAGATCACCTTGGAGAGGACGATTGTGGTAGAGAGTTTGCAGATGTGTTATTTTCATCGGTGGCATGCTTAGTGCTCTTCTCATCCTTCTCCAGCACTCGCCTCATCCCTCCATCCTGGAAGTACTCCTGACAAACACTGTGGCAAGAGAGATTTAACAAGCAAATAAATGGATACGGGTAGATTTCCCTTGCAGAAGCTCTGCTACTAGATTTATTTATGGAGAAGAAAGAAAAAATCTATTTGGGTGTTCTTCCATCTTGCCTGAGCTTTCAATGATGTTACGGAAAGGGTGAAGCTGATTGGTTGGTTCTTGTCACATGACCTGCGGTCCACTTGCGGCATTCTTAAAAGTTGAGAATTTTTCATCTCACTGCAGCGTAGACGTGCCTGGTAAATCGAGCGTGTCGCAACGTTTTATTCTGAGCGCACTTACTTTCAAAATGATTAACTTAAAGGTGAACTAAGTAACTTTTTTACCTTAACCGAAGCTTTGGAGTCATTGTAATGTTTATATTACTGATTTCGTGTTGAATGGTGGTCATCTCGCACCCCCCTGGTGCCTGTGAGCCGCAAAACCACCCTTGCAACTTTGGGCCGGCGAGCCGCCGGCCTCAGTATTAGGAAGTATCGTGTGTTATCAGGTCTCGCGTAACGAATTGCTTTACGACAAAAAACAGATCTGATAAAATTCTGATAAAATGAGCATCAAACAGAAATAACCCGGCGCTGCATACATGTGGTGTTCGAGGCGCACATACAATACAGACTGCCGACAGTTAAACAGGGCGCGCGCAGCTCTTAAAGGGGCCATACCTTATTTCCACTCGTTACAGCGTCCATCCTACTGAACAGGTACCGGTGTACAGGGGGAGGGGATCCGGCCGTGAGTGCGAGCCATCTCTGTGTGAGTGCTATTCACGACAGTACAAGTACTCCACAGCGACTCTAGGGGTCGCTGTTTGACAAAAACGGAATTCCTACTTAGTGCTGCTTTAAGCGCAAAGGACGCGACGTGACCGGCCCTTTAGAATGTTACAACTAGATGCTTAGCAACCGACAACCAAAACGTCACGAAAACGCAGATTGTTTTAAAAACAGCCGTTTCAATTTTCTATAGTAAAATGTCAAATAGTGACGGAAAACACGTCAATTGTAGTGGAGACAGTTTCATTCTCACCTTATAGTACAAAACGTTCTGGAAAAACTTTTTTTAAAAGTCGTCAATAGGCTATATAATATGAGGATGCGTAATGCCTTAATGTAAACAAGTCGCATACTGCATTCATCCAATCAAAGACACTGACACCGCAAATATGCAAATAAGGATGTTAACTCAGGGTTTAGGAATGTTAAGTGGGAAACGTCACCTGTACCCAGTATTCATTACTAACCCCAGGTAAATTCTGAGCAATGTGAAACGTGTAGCAAGATAACCCAGGATTCCGTTAAACCAGGGTTAAGAATGACCCAGGGTTAACTATTTCAAATGTGAAAAGCCCTAAAAAGTACCAAATCGGTTTCTCAACATAAAACAATGACCATCAACAGCCGTACCTGCGGCACCACTCGATGCGTCCCTCGCCCTCGCATTTATTCGCCCAGTGGTTGTCGGCCAGGTTCTTCATGGCCATGGCATACTCGCTGAGAGTCTGCTCGTCTTCACAATGCTCACGCCATATTTTCTCGAAATCTCCCACTGCATTCAAAGAGACAAAACAGAGGAGTGTACGGTAATGCCACAGGGTTGATCGTTCTGCACAGCATAACTGGTGTAAACATTCTTACAAAGCCTACTTTCTGAAGTCAGCTGATGTCAGTGGTTTCTCTAACCCCTAGCCTCCAGCGGCTCACAAAACACTGTCCGGTTTCTTCAACAACTCAGTGAAACTCCATCGCCAAGCTCAAAAGTAATGTATCATCAAAGTGTTTGTGCTGATTCACACACAGTTCGAAAACTTGCTGATAACGTCGATGACACCAGAAGGCAGCCACTACCCTAAAAGACTGCTTTGGAGGGAAAGAACTGACAAAAAGGGATATGTCCCATGAAAGAGTGGAAAATACTGGCCTTATCAGATTTACAGAGAATAAGACAACAAGGGAAGAGACTGCAGCGTCGTTACATATGAATACTGCTGTACAATGCCAAGAAGACCAGATCACGCCTTCCTTATTAACCATCACGGGGTCTAGTGAATAGACTACTGTGTGTGGGATTTATAGCGCTGCTCATCCCTCTCGGGGGAAATCGAGGAAGATTCGATAAAAAACTCAACAACAAATTTAAAGTCAGATAGTATAAAGGTGGTGGTACGCTACATCAGGTTCTGCTTCCTGTGGAACTGATTGCAGGCAAAAATATAACATTTCATAATCTCCTCCTACTCTACTACGTCATAACCTGATGATGGGCATGATAACCTTTTTGAATAATGCTCATTGCAGCATAAGACAGGAACATGAAATGTAACAACATCCTCACAATCAATTACTTCTGGTCTAACAATACATTTCTCAAGATAATATTTTCACAGAAACGTGCATTCGTTTTTAGGGAGTGCGCCATGACTAGAAAACATAATAGGAGGCACTTTCCACGAATTGGGTACAAAATATGCCCTGAAAGATGGCATTTATTTTTATTTTTGAATGGAATTTTTTATCGTCAGTGACAGGAGGTGCTTAAAGGGATAGTTCACCCAAAAATGTAAATTCTCTCCTCATTTGCTCACCCTCATGACGTTCCAAACATGTCCGACTTTCTCTCTTCTGTGGAACATAAAAGAAGATATTTTGAGAAATGTCTCAGCATTTTTTGTGGCCATACAAATGGAAGTCAATAGTAACAAACATTCAGAATATCGTTTGTTCCACAGAAAGAAAAAAAAAGAAAGTCATTCGAGTTTTGAACAACAATTTCATTTTTTTTGGGTGAACCATGCGTTTAATCTTCAGAAACCCTCTTGGGAGGTCGAACTATATATTATTAATTTAATTTTATATTAGTTTTCTAAAGGGTTTGCAATGTTTACAAACCTGTTACAGAAACTTTGATGTCAAAACAGTTTAAAATGTGATTAAATATGAGTAATATTGATATTTTCTTGCGATAAACATTAAATAGCAAAGAAGGGTCGCAAATTTATACATGCCAACTGAGGGGAAAAGCTAGATTATGCAACTAAAAAAAAAATCCAGCTTTACACCATAAGTACTCATGACAACAGTGGCATTGTCACACTGAAGCCGAAATTAACAACAGGTACAACAGATCTAACTCTCCCTAACTGCAATTCATCTGTTGCTACCTGGCCCATGGATACAGTTAACTGCAATTTTTTTGTACAGTTATTGTACATGTAATATTTTCATCCTTTAAGTTTTTCTTAAAACCCCATGTCATTTATACTTATTAAGACTGTTTATACCTTCCCAGCAGAGACACACTTAAAATAGGTCAAGTGTCCATTATGTATCAAGTGCTTTAAATCATAATTAAGATAAATAAATGACAGGGAAGAGATTAAAGCTTTTAGAGAGGCAAACTTGTCACCTGTACATGTTCAAGAACATGTTTTTTGTGCTCTTTTTCTCCCCGAATGAGGATTAAAAGTTGTTTATGCTTTCAAACACAGTCATCATATCAATGAAGTGCAAAACAGGAACAGATGAACGACCCTGCACAATTTTGCTGACTAGTCTAAAGTCGTGCTGCAGACAGACAGACAGAACCTGTTTCAATACTTAACGTGCTGCCTAGCTAAACAGTATTATATACGGGCGTTCAGAACGTTCTATTCGAATGTTTTCAAAATGCTGTCTATGTATATAACGTTAGCTCACTAGGTTTTCAGACACAGCCAAAAACGAGCCATGTATAAAATCAGTTCATGTCAACAGGGATGCAACACAAGTTTAAAATAAAATAACGTTTTTGCTCTCGTAGCGTTACGGTTGTAATCCAGGCGTTTAAATATCCGCGTCTCTGCTCAGGCCAGACTACAGACACTGATCTAGGCTAGGCTACACAGCTACGCATCTCATTCGCAGCCAATACCTTCAATGTATTTCCTGCGGAGTTTTCTGTGCACGCTCTTCACCAACCCCGACAGCTTCTCCTGCTCCTGCTTCCTGGACTGCAACCCCGTCGGGACAGAGCCGGGGTGGTTCTCGGAGGGATCCAGGTCTGTCTCTGCGCTGCTCTGCAGGTCCATAGTACAGCACTGAGTCTACCGGCGCACCGGCTCCGTCAGTCCGTCAGCACGCACGCACACGCCGCAACAACGGGCCGCCTGATTGCGCCTCTCCAGCGAACGTGACGGAAGCGCACGTCCAATCTGTGAACGCTAACATGAAACGCCTCAGTGCTCCGAAAGGTTGATGAAAGTTTATATATAATGATAATAATAATCATCATAATAATAATGATGATTATTATTATTGTGAATGTGATTGTTAATAACAATTATATTATTATAGTTTTTAAATTAAAAGATTTTTATAAATATTACTTAATATTATTAAATATTATTTATTATAGTATTATTATTATATTATATTAATGATATTATTATTAATATATATATATATATATATATATATATATATATATATATATATATATATATATATATATGTATGTATATTATAACCTAAATAAAATCATTCACATCATGTAATGTCTTGTGCTTTCCTGTCTTGTATTTAAGTATCTGAGCCGCTCAGCTCGCTGCACGACAAATTCTACATCAGCTTAGCATTGCAACGGAGTGGCTTTGAATTTACTGTGGGAGTCGCGGAGGAGGAACGTGGCACTCCCGCAGCAGCCACCACACCAGAGTCCTCAGAGACTCAGCTGTCATGGCCTCCATTCCAGATTCTTCAGAATCTGCCTTTCCACCTGCTCAGCCGTGGTGTTCTTCAGCTCCACCTGCTCAGCCGTGGTGTTCTTCAGCTCCACCTGCTCAGCCCTGGTGTTCTTCTGCTCCACCTGCTCCGCCGTAGTGTTCTTCAGCTCCACCTGCTCAGCCCTGGTGTTCTTCTGCTCCGCCATGTTGGTCTTCTGCTCCGCCTGCTCCACCGTGGTGTTCTTCTGCTCCGCCTGCTCACCGTGGTGTTCTTCTGCTCCACCGTAGTGTTCTTCTGCTCTGCCTGCTCCACCTTGGTGTTCTTCTGCTCCACTTGCTCCGCTGTGGTGGTCTTCACCTCCACCATGTTGGCCTTCTGCTCCGCCTGCTTCGCCGTGGTGTTCTTCTGCTCTGCCTGCTCCACCGTGGTGTTCTTCTGCTCCACCTGCTCCGCCGTGGTGTTCTTCTGCTCCGCCTGCTCCGCCGTGGTGTTCTTCTGCTCTACCTGCTCCGCCGTGGTGGTCTTCAGCTCCGCCTGCTCCGCCGTGGTGTTCTTCTGCTCCGCCTGCTCCGCCGTGGTGTTCTTCTGCTCCGCCTGCTCCGCTGTGGTGTTCTTCTGCTCTACCTGCTCCGCCGTGGTGGTCTTCAGCTCCACCATGTTGGTCTTATGCTCCGCCTGCTCCACCATGTTGGTCTTCTGCTCCGCCTGCTCCGCCGTGGTGTTCTTCTGCTCTACCTGCTCCGCCGTGGTGGTCTTCAGCTCCACCATGTTGGTCTTATGCTCCGCCTGCTCCACCGTGGTGTTCTTCTGCTCCACCTGCTCCGCCGTGGTGGTCTTCAGCTCCACCATGTTGGTCTTATGCTCCGCCTGCTCCACTGTGGTGTTCTTCTGCTCCACCTGCTCCGCCGTGGTGGTCTTCAGCTCCACCATGTTGGTCTTATGCTCCGCCTGCTCCGCCGTGGTGTTCTTCTGCTCCACCTGCTCCGCCGTGGTGGTCTTCAGCTCCGCCTGCTCCGCCTGCTCTGCCGTGGTGTTCTTCTGCTCCACCTGCTCCGCCGTGGTGTTCTTCTGCTCCGCCTGCTCCGCCGTGGTGTTCTTCTGCTCCGCCTGCTCCGCCGTGGTGTTCTTCTGCTCCACCATGTTGGTCTTATGCTCCGCCTGCTCCGCCGTGGTGTTCTTCTGCTCCGCCTGCTCCGCCGTGGTGGTCTTCAGCTCCACCATGTTGGTCTTATGCTCCGCCTGCTCCACCATGTTGGTCTTCTGCTCCGCCTGCTCCGCCGTGGTGTTCTTCTGCTCCGCCTGCTCCGCCGTGGTGTTCTTCTGCTCCGCCTGCTCCGCCGTGGTGTTCTTCTGCTCCACCATGTTGGTCTTATGCTCCGCCTGCTCCGCCGTGGTGTTCTTCTGCTCCGCCTGCTCCGCCGTGGTGTTCTTCTGCTCTACCTGCTCCGCCATGGTGGTCTTCAGCTCCACCATGTTGGTCTTATGCTCCGCCTGCTCCACCATGTTGGTCTTCTGCTCTGCCTGCTCCGCCGTGGTGGTCTTCAGCTCCACCATGTTGGTCTTATGCTCCGCCTGCTCCACCGTGGCGTTCTTCTGCTCCACCTGCTCCGCCGTGGTGGTCTTCAGCTCCACCATGTTGGTCTTATGCTCCGCCTGCTCCACTGTGGTGTTCTTCTGCTTCACCTGCTTCGCCGTGGTGGTCTTCAGCTCCACCATGTTGGTCTTATGCTCCACCTGCTCCACCGTGGTGTTCTTCTGCTCCACCTGCTCCGCCGTGGTGGTCTTCAGCTCCACCGTAGTGTTCTTCTGCTCCACCATGTTGGTCTTATGCTCCGCCTGCTCCGCCGTGGTGTTCTTCTGCTCTACCTGCTCCGCCGTGGTGGTCTTCAGCTCCACCATGTTGGTCTTATGCTCCGCCTGCTCCGCCGTGGTGGTCTTCAGCTCCACCATGTTGGTCTTATGCTCCGCCTGCTCCACCGTGGTGTTCTTCTGCTCCACCTGCTCCGCCGTGGTGGTCTTCTGCTCCACCACGTTGGTCTTCTGCTCCGCCTGCTCCACCGCGGTGTTCTTCTGCTCCGCCTCCTCAACAGTGGTGGTCTCCAGCTCCGCTGTGCTGGTCTTCTGCTCCGCCTGCGCTGCCCTGGGGGTCTCCAGCTTTGCTGAGGTGGTCTTTATTCCCGTAGCCTCAGCCCTGGCTCTCTGTTCCTCCTCAGTCTCCAGTTCCATCACACTGACATTTTTCCAGTCTTCAACTGTCCAATTTTGGTGAGCTCTTGCAAATTGTAGCCTCTTTTTCCTATTTGTAGTGGAGATGAGTGGTACCCGGTGGGGTCTTCTGCTGTTGTAGCCCATCCGCCTCAAGGTTGTGCATGTTGTGGCTTCACAAATGCTTTGCTGCATACCTCGGTTGTAACGAGTGGTTATTTCAGTCAAAGTTGCTCTTCTATCAGCTTGAATCAGTCGGCCCATTCTCCTCTGACCTCTAGCATCAACAAGGCATTTTCGCCCACAGGACTGCCGAATACTGGATGTTTTTCCCTTTTCACACCATTCTTTGTAAACCCTAGAAATGGTTGTGAGTGAAAATCCCAGTAACTGAGCAGATTGTGAAATACTTACACCGGTCCGTCTGGCACCAACAACCATGTCACGCTCAAAATTGCTTAAATCACCTTTCTTTCCCATTCTGACATTCAGTTTGGAGTTCAGGAGATTGTCTTGACCAGGACCACACCCCTAAACGCATTGAAGCAACTGCCATGTAATTGGTTGATTAGATCATTGCATTAATGAGAAATAATAATCCTTTAGGTGAGTGTATACTGCTAATAATAATCCAAGTAATGTAGGTCTTTCTAATTCTTTCTAATTTAACATCGGAAGGTCACATTCACACGCGCTCTGACACTGATTCCTGTGGAGAGAACATGAGTTGTGTCACGTTTCACCTCATAGAGCTCTGGCTTACTGTGAGTATTATAAACCTCACCAAACCTTATGGAAATCAGAACTAGTTTGACACAGAAGTTATTTTTCAGTATTTTTCAAGTCGTGTCTCACAGGTTATTTGTACAAGGACATGTTCAGCATAAATCTAGTATCTTATATGTTATAATCTTGTCATATACCATGATGCATGAACCATATGTTTGCAAAATGGAGCTACAGTGCCATTGTGTCTCCTCTTGAAAATGTCATCATGTGCTTTCATCCCATTTAGAAGGAGTGATAATCCCGTAATAGTCTCCCTGCTCAGCTGTGCAGACTCCTCCCCATGCAATGAATTTGTTTCATATGCTATCAGCTTATAAATATGCAGTCACTCATCTAATCATACTTTAAAAAATTACAGTGTTCTAAAGATGATATTAGGGATAGTTCACCCAGAAATGAAAATGACGTCATTTACTCAACCTCATGTATTAAAAAAAAAAAAAAAAATTGTTGGGTTGGGTTGGGTTGGGTATGGGTTTTATGATATTTTAGGCCCCTGTGACTTTTACTGTATGCTCAAAAACAAATAAAACATTAATCAAAATATGTACAGCTAAAAAATTAGTCTATTTGGGGAGATCTGTGGTCAGATTTATGTCTGTGAATTGCATATAACCTGGAGATGAGATCATAGTTCATCTGTTTGTTCATTGAAAGCTATTTCAGTGAATGATGTTCACCAATAAATGGACAAGATAAAGACAACTTGAAATAATAACAGGTGCAAAATATTGAATTGCAATAAAAATGCTCTGTTGATTGGATAAAATAAATTTATAAACAACACAAAAACATATTAATCCATACATGTTATCTATTTTGAGTACACAATAATGAAATGATGGAAGTTATTGTTTATTTTACATGGTTTATTGATTGTGAGTATAGACACCTGTGTCTACATACAGTACCTGTATTTATGAAACAAGCGCTGGTCAGTTTGGAGATGATAAGACCATAATGTTTGGTATATTGAAACATAAAGGAGGATAGCAACCCTTGATGTCTTTTTTAGAAAGTAGTGTCAAATAGTTTATGACTGTAAACAAACAAGATGACATGTAAATAAACAAATAATAATTTTTGAACTCTACTAAACTAGTACGGAAAATGTTTGTAAAATAATTGCAACAGAAAAATGAATGTATCATCATCATTTCAGATCAGACAGATTTTGACCTTGTGATAGATTTTATCGGTTGTTCTTTTGCCCGAAGACATAAAATACATTTATGTATGTGTTATATATCAATTATAATCCAGGTATGAAATTAAAGCTACACGTACAATTCAATTTCAATATAATGCTTTTTCAAGAGTAATCTTCTATAATATGTCAAATTTTAACATTTCACTCACCCAGTGGTCCTTTGAACATCACTGTACCAGGCACCATTAGCACATAATCCAACGACTACATATATTGACCCTCTTTAATCCCTTGCTGTATGATCAGCTCTGTGTAAACAGCATTGTGATATTGTATGCAAACTTATTGCAATATTACCCATGCAGCCGGACTCATATACTGTCAACAATAGTCTGCCATCATATAAAATCATGTTTTTGCCATTACGAAAATATGTGCGATAAATACCTCCACGGAATCCAATGCTTTCATACAACAATTGTATTCTTACAACATGTATTCAGTTCCACTTTCACTTCTGCTAAACTATCCAAAAATGTTCATGAGTAAATCATATTTACTGCAATCCTCTTTCACTTTTCCGAGTGTTTTTTTAGTGGCTCTTCCTCCCCTTGTCGAAACAGCCAATACACTGTAAGAACATAAAGGGCAAAACATGCGATGAAGTCATAATAAAATGCAGCAACCAAAAACACTATCAACAAAAATATGTATCCAATCACCCTTCTCATATTATCATAGGACAGAAACTCTTTCCACCACAAGACATTACGGGGAATGACATGCGTAGCTCTTTCCAGCTCCATAATGTACTCAATATTTGTTAAATCTTCTAGGGAACTATTCGACTGGTCCTCATCCACAGACTCCGAGATTGAAGGCATAGCTAATGGCCTTCCTTTACTCATTGAAGGTCTTTTGCCGTAACTTCCACTCATTGTGCCTTCTCTGAATACTGACTGTTGTGAATTCCTCAGACTGATCAAGTACAGCTCCATCTCGTCATCAATCTGCGATTCTGTTGAGGTGTTGTCGTCAACATTTTCAAGATCTCTGTTCATTGAGTCTTTCGCCTGGCAATCCATGTCTTCCAGCATATTGTTCACATCATCAGTAGTGTCCCGGTCACTGTTCTCACTTCCACGGCACATACTCTCTTCTTTATCAATAAATTCAATGAGGTCCCAATCCTTCTCCATAGCTTGCATACTTCCACTGAGTTCAGTATCACTCGTTTGAGATGATTCTTGCCAAGATGCAGCAGTTTCCTCACAAATCTCTACTCCACTGTTGAAGTGCCTATCCTGTTTTTCTGAGTCCTCAACTCCACCTAGATTTTCTATTTCGTGTAAGTCAATGTGATGTTGTGGCAATGATTTAACATTCCTGGAACTAATAATCTGCTTCTGTTCCTCAGAATCTCTTTCAACAGACAGCAAATCATCTGCATCTGCTTGTTGTTTCTTTTCTCTCTCAGTTTCCATTGCATCCAAGTCCTCTTCATCATCTATGTATTTCAAATCATCTTCAATGTTCATTCCCCCTTCTCCTGCACCTTCTTGTTCTTTTGGTTCTTGGTCTTTCTCCTTTTTGTCTTGTTCCTGCTTCTCTATCTGCTTTGTTTGATTTCCAGTTCCCTCTTCCAGGCTTTCATAATTTTTCATTTTGTGAATTTCTTCTTTAATAACTAATGTGTTATGTTCTCCATCAAACTCAATCATGCTTGAGCTCTCTGTCTCTGAAGTCTGTAAAGCAAAACCTATGAGCATTTGTTCCTTCTTTTCATTCCTTTGACAGCTCTCCAAAGTATTGCTCATATTTATCTGTGTGTTCCCCAATTCTGCATATGGTTCGGTTAGCATGGCTGTTGCTAAGTGAGACAGTTCTTCAGGTTTTTCAATGTTCAATCTCATCTCACAGCAATCCGGCTCTGATTTATCATCAGAGGAACCCAAGATGATCCCTGAAGTAGGGAGCATTGTGGGGTCTTCTGGAGATTGGGCAAGAATGCAAGAGGGGCTGTTTGAATACCTTGTTCGCACTAATATATTCTCCTCATTGGTGTGGATATTCCCCTGGTTTTGTGACATTTCGATTTTAATACTAGAAATCTGATTGTCCACAGGTAATGAAGTTTTAAAAACTGATGTGGGTGATGAAGGATGGATCTGTTTAGGTAGGTTGTCAATACCGGACTCTATTGTTTGATTTGTAGAGACTAAAAGTTCTGATCCTTGTAGGGGAAATAAACATGGACTTTGGCCAAGATTACCCTGGAATGAAAATTCAGCCGAAGATAATGGTACAATTTTACCTAGAGGAGGATCTGGCTGTTCGGATGTGACTTTTGGAAGATTTGTTTCAGTAAATGTATTGTCTGGTGTGTACTTATTTGGCTCAGAAAGAGGATTTTTGGTTGGGTTTATTGTAAGTTGTGAGTTTTGTTCTGCTGATTCTTTGCAGACGCCAACACTAATATCATGTACGGTCTGTTTTGTAGAAATGCAAGACTCTGGCCAAATGTCTGTGGTCTCAGCGGCCGTGACCGCTGTTAAACTCTCATCCTCCAGTTCCCTTAATGGCTTATCTACTTGTAATGTTTTCCGAAATAAGTCTTTTCTCTCTGTTTCCATGCTTTTAAAAACCTGATGATAAAGCGGGGCTACAATGGTCCCAAATGTGAAGCCATGAGAAAATGGCTGAGGCTGAAAAAAGTTAGTAGTTTTCAAACTCACATTCTCTTCTGGTTTTCCGTCGCTAATATTCGTGTCCTCATCCATCGTGGAGCTCAATGCCAAACTTTTAATTCTTTGCTTAGTGTCCTTCTCAAAGTACTCCCATGCTCTTTCAACATTCTTGCAAATAGACAAGTCAGGATTTTGGCATACAGGAAAAGACTGTTTGATTGAAACCTTTTGGTCAGTAAGGTCCTCAGTAATTTGGCTGTCTTCCAAGGCCTCAGAAGCAGAGCATGCAATTGATTCACCACAGTCTTCTAGGGGTAAATGTGTGTGTGCTGTGGATAAATTAGTCTTGGTGTTGATCATGGCTTCTTCATGTTGTGTAAGAGCTTGGCTGTAAACGTCAGCGGAATATCCACTATACTCTGCAAATTTTAAGGACTCATCTGAGGGTGATATTTGGTTGCATGTTGGTGGTCGAGCAGTTTGTGTTGATTGTGGACTACATGATGTCTTCTCCAGCTCTGATGCATGTTCCTGCATGCTAGTCTCTGCTGTAACTTCACTCTCTTTGGTCTTGGTCCCTTGTTTTTCTTCTCCTCTCTTAGCAAAGTGCTCCTTGACTTTTGCTAATCGCACAGCCCTTCTTTTGCTCCTTCGGCTGCGGATTCTGCTTATTTCCTCCTGTTTACAAAGAGGTAGATGTGAAATATACTGAAAGAAAGACTATCTTCAATAAATAAATTTAAGTAATAAAATATCTAAAGATCTTAGGAGTACATTTTCAACTTTTAAGATAAATTGATTGAGAGATTGACTTGGAGTTACTTTTAACTACGTACCATACCATGATGATCTCAGAGTGACCCTGAACAGCCTGACCTATCAAGTTACTCTAACATTTGTCAACGCCTGGCAAGTGAATGTCATCAGTGACCACATGACATTCATAAAGAGTAGCGTGTCACAGCCCATGTTTTATAAAATGTAATACAATGTTCATCCTCGTTGTCGCTATATAATTATAAACATCATTAAGTGACTATGAATTAATCTTTGGTAAACTATAAAAATGTATAACTCACTTCTAATTCCATGCTTTCCTTCTCATGTTTTTCAGAGTTTTCTTTTAGAGATCCTGGGCTAGTGGCCTTTAGATTTATACCTGAGAAAACAAAACATTTATTTATCAGAATTTTACAGTATTTCCAAATCTAGTTGTAAGTCATTTTTGAGGAGGTCAGTTACCAGGAAATTCCTCATTATTTGTTGCCGCAACAGTTGGAGCAGAGACATTTGGGCTGGAAAATTGCAAAAAAAAAAAAATTATAAGTGATGTAAAAATGATATATGTGCTTAAGAACTGGGGGGAAACCAGTAGCGTTCCTTAATTCATTGGGTGCGTCTTTAGTATTGTAGTTTTATTCATGTATTAACTCTTAGTTATCAAGTTTTTTAGCACAGTAAAAAAATTATAGGATCAATTAGTTATGACAACATGTTTTTACATTGCTTTTTTTTAACAAGTTATACAAGATCCAACTCATTTTTAAGTCAGATTAACATAATTAAGGTTGAAATTGACTTAAATATCCAAGTTGATTGTACTTAAAAATTGAAGGCAACAACTTTTGTCTTTTGTTCAATATTTTTGAAATATTTCATTTGACATTCTTTGCTATGACAGATGTGTTGGAGACCCCTCACCTGGTTGTTTTTAGACAGCTTTTTCTTCTGTTTTCACACACATTTTGAGGTTTCTCCTTTATTTTTTCACAACAAAACAGAGAGTAGTTCTTTTCATTATTGTTTGCCCAAAAAGTACCTAAAGATGTGTCATATCGCAAACAGAAGTCAACCCTCGCACCCTCTTCTCCGAATGGGGGTACCAGTGTGATCTTAAAGGAGAAACAATCCGACCCACTTTTGTGTGACCCAGGTACGTACTCTGCCAACAGATCAAAATGACTTCTCCATGAATCTAAAGAAGTCCGTACATAGACCATCTTATCAAAACACACATCTAGCACGCGAACGATTCCTCTTAGGGTTGAAGTCCCAGAAAGCAGCTCCAAACTTTTCAGTTCCAGCTTCTGCTCGTGAACCCGCAGGTCTAGCTCCTCTGCGGTCTGCGGAAGAGTGAAGAGAGGAAGAATGTAATACTCCTTATCTTCATTCAAGTCACTCTCCAGAGGGCCTGATGGTGCAGTTACTCCCTGAGCGTCAAACTGTTTCACTGAGACGAGACTCAAACCGAAGGCATCAGCAAAGGACACTCTTCGGCTGCTTGAAGGGGGAGGCAGGGAGTCATCAGAGGACACTGAACTCCGTCGTCTAGGTATGGGCGAAGTTTTGGGCTTGATCCCTTCGAGACCCAGTGACTCCTCATCCTCATCCCAGGGGAAGGTTGCTGGCAAACTCAGGAGGTTAAAGCTGGCCCCAATGGGGCTGTCCAGCGCTCCCACAGACTCCATCAGGCAATGTGGGACAGAGTGAGAGGAACTCAGCTGGTCGGCCAGCAACTGACGTGCTGTGACAACTTATGGAATCAAGTTACATTTGACATTGTAGGGAAAAGCCAGCTCTATTTTTAGGGCAGAAACATCTCGAACTATGCAATCAGAGCTCAGGGGAGCAATGCAAAAATATGTCACATACACACTTCCAACAAAATAACATTGTTCTGCATACACAGACACAGCAAACATATCATTGTCTTTAAGGAGATGATCGGGTTTAAAAAGTAAATGATGGCAGAATTAAAATTTTTGGGTGATCCTTTTAATCATTTTAGTCAGTTATACACATGCTAAATTGCAAAAAAAAAAAAAAAAAAGAAGCATGTGCTGTTTTAAAGGCTTAGGCTTGTGGTCATTCATAAATATTCATATAAGTATAGGCCTATTTCTCTACATTTATACAAGCACTTTCTCATAAAATAAGAGTAATATTGTACAAAATTATGACTTATTTATAACCAAACTTTCTTCTTTTGCTTATCAGTGGTAAACTAAAACCATGACTAAAACTCGGTTTTTTGTCAGAGACTTCTATTTTGTAACAGAAACAGGAAGCTTTGTAAGCAAACCCCTGAATGGAACAACTCGGTTTACTTCTCTTTATAGCTATGGCTTTCAGAAAGCACAGATCATGGGGATTTTTAAAAAGTACTAGGGCACCAAGGAGAAACAAAAGATAGAGTGGAGGAAAAGTCATTTCTGTCTTGCAAACCACTTGAGATTCAACGAGATTCTTGTCACTAGACAAGCAAACTTCGCTGTCTTTCTTTGCCTTGCTTGTTTTGTCGGAGCCATACTCTCTTCGTCCTCTGTACAGCTACATTACCTCCATCTAGAGGCAAATTGAGGAAATGTTTTCCCTGCTTCAAGATTGAAGGCCAGAAGTTGTTCTCCATGGGGATTCTCCAACTACCGAAGATGCAGAGTGATGTGACTGGAAGTTTGATGAAAAACTTGCTAGAATCCTGGACTTGACACCATAATTCATTAGCCATTGGGTATGTAAGTGAATTCCATTTGGAGAAGATAAATGGATGGGTTTCTAATTCTTACCGTTACCCCTCACTGGACTTTCTGAGATAACCTTTTTTAAATTTTCTCCACTCAGTTTGAGTTTAAATTCAGTATTTTAAAAAATATTGTTAAATGTTTAATTTAGCAAGGTCAGGTTTTATTCAAACTATGGCAGAATACAGTGTTCCATTAGAGAAGCATGCAAGGTAAATATCATTCTAGTAGCATATTATGTTCCCTTGTTGTATTTTCTTTAACCTTTAAAGTGAATAAATGTTTTTATTTTGTCAAAATGGTGATGATAATGTCGTATACATAGTACAATAGTAAAAGGAAAATGTTATAGTTCACTTTACATTTGTACACTCTCACAAGCCTGTAGTGTTGGTGAAGAGTGAGATGAATGAAATTACCATAGCTTTAGATGCATATGTTTTCTTTTAAATCTGATGATAGGTTACATTGAGACACCTCTATGTTCTTAATACCTAAACACAGAAAAACACAAAGCAGGTTTTACATATTTCACATTTCTTTGCAATAATTTAAGAGTATTTAAAGGGGTCATATAATGGTGCATGCACTTTTACAAGTTGATTGTACTGAAATGTGTGTTGGCTGTGTCTGTACACAACCATCATATAATGAAAAAAATCCATCCAGTGGTTTTGTTTTAATCTCCTTATATGTTTTCCCCTGCCTCAAATCGAGCCATTCGACCGTGTGACGTCACAAGCTCGGAAGCCCCTCCCACGATTGTTGATTGACAGGAGCGTCTCAACACAGACCCGCCCTCGCTCATGAGAGAGCTGTCAATCATAGTCTGCGCGGCGCGGACCAGCGCGGTCATTGTTGATATGCTGGAGCACTGTCTATGAGCAGAATGGCGTCTAAGCGATTGTGTGTTCTGTTCTTGGGTGTAATAACGAACACAGCAGTCATTTTAATGTTCCTAAATCCGAACCGCTGAAGACGCAGTGGCTGTGTTTGTTTTCGAAGGGAATATTCCCCACGAGCAACGTCAATGCTTTCATGTTTGCGTGAATCATTTCTCACCAGACTGCTTTATAAACGAGGATCAGTATAAAGCTGGATTTGCTAAGCTGCTGCTCATGAAAAATGGATCGGTAGCTGCTACCAGATATTCGTGTTCCTGCTGAATCTCCAGAAGAACGGAAGTGAGTGTAACGTTTTATTAAACTTTATATTAATCTTTGCAAATCGCTAGCTGCACGCTTCACAATGAATGTGTCTAAGGTTTACACTCAGGGTACATTACGGCATGTTTTCTATGTATGACGTTCTCAATATAATTCATAATCCCACGTTTATACTGAACAACGCGTTATGGTTATTGAGTTACAAATGGTGTACGCCAGAGCCGGCTCTGGTGTACGCATAGAACAGAGGGGCAGAGTCAGCAAAGCTCATTATCATTTAAAGTCATATACACTGAAACGGCGTGCTGAAAACAGAGCTGTTTTTTACCAGGTAAAATAAGTGTTTTCTTACAATACTAATGAGAATTTTTAATTAAATTATATTACAAACTTTTAATTTAGACCCTAAAGAATCATATTAGCTTGTACAAAAATGGCATTATATGACCCCTTTAAAAAACAACAACATTTATCACCTGTAGAAACTCGGTTTGAAGGGGCCGTATTTGTTCAAGCCCATGTATTTAGCTTGATCGTCGGTGAGTTCAGTCAGGTGTGCGTCAAATGTTTGAAGATGCAGGCTTGCAACATACTCATCTGGTACACAAAATAGTGAATCAGATGTCATTTTCATTCAAATATGATTCAATGTTTCATGAAATATGGAATTCTAGAAGGTGCCTCATGTCCATTGCATTTTTTACCCAGTTTCTTGGGAAGAAGGTAGACATCTTGCTTGTAACGGCCATCAGGGGCATTAAAGAGCTCGATCAATGCCAAAGCCTAGAATGTAAACCGAAAACTAAGCATGTAAACAATTTGAAACTCAACACTTGCCCAGGTCCATGCTTCCCATGTCAATTACATTCTGTTGTACTAAATACAAATGTACTTTAAAAAGTTGTATTGTTTCGTCCAGCTAGTCTTTAATGTTTAGGCTAAGCAAGAGTGGAAGAACTTCAGCCTTTAGGCTATAAAACCTCATTTAAATTCATGTATTAGCAAACTGCGTCATACCTGTGTGGTGGCTGTGATGGAAAGCACGTATATGGGTACAGTGGAGGAGCTTAGATTAAGGACACGGCCCTGGAATCAAACGGGGTAAAACAGTAACCTTGCCATTAACGTTAATGACAAATATGCCATAAGGGTTGTAACCAGAAAATGTAGATTATAGCTAAACATTATTTACGCATGTAGGACAACATGTTTCTAGATCCTTTGTTGTTCTTAGTCTTATGCACAGCAATTTCCCTTGAATGTGTGAGGCTGAAATTTATTATCAGATTATTTTAATTTAATATCGGAATTATAAACACATTGGTTTGTAGCACAAATAGTTTTATTGGGCTATATATATTTAAAAAAAAAATAGCTTTACTTTTGTTTTGTTGTTATAAATTATATTTATTTAATTTAAGTCTTGCACATTCACAGGAGATAGCTTACATCTGCATTAAATGGTAAATGGATTTCTGTTTTATATTTCTCATAGTATTCATTCACCTCAGCTAGAAGAACAATTCTCTTTCCATCAGGCCAAATAATGTGATCCACTTGCGCTCTCACATGCTGCCATGCTAACTCTGGGGTTCTCAGACTGGTCTGAAAATTCAACAGATAATACAAATGACAAGAAATGTAAGCAAATTAAATTACAAGCATTCAATTGTAATCACTAATCGTGCATTTTATCAGGTCCTACAGCCACTTACAACATCGATTTCTGTATTAGAGCGTCCCATGTTGCAGACAACGCAGCCATTCTTCATTAGGTCCATGTGTTCCCTCACAACAACGTTTTTGTTTCCTGTGTAGAGTTAGTTATCAAAGCAAATAACATTACTAGTACAGTTATGAATTGTTTTATTTATGATATTGCGCAACTTGCCTGTGCAGGTGATGACAATGTCCACTTGGCTTACAATATCACCTAGTTTGGCCAATCGTAAGCCATCCATGCTAGTCAAAATAGAATTGTCTGTCAGGTGTGATACTGTGGAACATATATGTCATGCTAACTCTCTGGAAAGCTTTTTTTCAAATAACTAATGCTTACCATGCTTGTAGGGCACAGATGGGGTCGATTTCGGTCACATACACAACAGATCCCATCGCTTTCAGAGCTGCAGAACAACCTTTTCCCACCTGTGGGCATCAATATTTACATTTACACACAAAACAGAGGCCGATACTAAACGAATCCAGGTTACAGACACTGTTATCAGGTATCATATTGACAATAGAAACAATAATTTATGTGAATCAGGAACTGTACCTCTCCGTATCCACATATAGCCACCTGCTTTCCGCCAAACATTACATCAGCGGTCTTTTTAAGACTGGGAGTATAGGAATGAGGCAGAAAGTAGACTAATAATATAAATACTGATAATTTAACATTTCTAAGTAATTTAGGATATATTTATATATAGTGTGTGTGTGTGTGTGTCATCATCTTACCTATCCAGAATGGACTCCCTGCAGCAGTACAGGTTGTCAAACTTCTGTTTAGTGACAGAGTCATTCACATTTATGGCTGGCACACATAGTTTTCCAGCTTTAGAGAGGTGATGAAGCCTGATATATGTGATGCAAAAAAGTTTTTTTACCATTTGCAAAGCTGTAAGTTTCATTGTGCAAACACCTGTGTAAATTTGGTGCTGTTTTCTCCTTAATATGGAGTTAAAGCTTGGAATATACATAACTTTTTATGAAGAGGATTGTCCCTTTTAATCCACATGTGACAAATGACTAGGTTTAGAAAGTGACTCAACCTGTGAATGCCGGTGATACTTTCTTCAACAATCCCCTTGACTTTCTTGAGGAGGTGAGGATATTTCTTGTATATCCAATGTGTCATATCTCCTCCATCATCGAGGATCTAAAGAAATAAAAGGCCATTAACAAACTTCTATTTGCAGGTGAAAACAGACAAGATAAGATAACACTATTGATTCTTGAAGGGAAAGTGGTCTCATTTCGTTGAAGTGAATCCTACCATGTTTGGCTCCCAGCCCTCCACATTTACACAGTGATCAATACACCACCAGAAGTCATCCTCAGATTCTCCCTTCCATGCAAAAACGGGAAAATCTGCCATGGAGAGCAGAGGACAAGACGTGGTACAAAGCAAAAAAGGTAACTTTGCAGAAGCCAACCACAAAATTGAACAATGAAGTATTTAACTTAGGTCTAATTAATTGTTATTAGACAATTAGAATAGGAGTTTATGTTTTACCTTGCTCTGCTAAAGCAGCTGCCACTTCATCCTGAGTGGAGTAAATATTGCAGGCTGCCCACCTGCACTGAGCCCCTAACACCATCAGAGTCTCCAACAGCACCTATTGAGGGAAATATATAAAGATTTGGGGTTGGTAAGATTTTGTTAAAGAATTTAATATATTTTAAAATGTAATTTATGATGGCAAAGCTGAATTTTCAGCATCATTACTCCAGTCCTCATTGTCACATGATCCTTCAGAAATCTTTTTAATATGCTGATTTGCTGCTCAAGAAAAGTATTATCAATGTTGAAAACAGTGTTGCTTAATATTTTTATGTTCAAAAGAATGCCATATATATATATATATATATATATATATATACTGTATATATATATATATATATATATACACTCACCGACCACTTTATTAGGTACACCTGTCCAACTGCTCGTTAACACTTAATTTCTAAGCAGCCAATCACATGGCGGCAACTCAGTGCATTTAGGCATGTAGACATGGTCAAGACAATCTCCTGCAGTTCAAACCGAGCATCAGTATGGGGAAGAAAGTTGATTTGAGTGACTTTGAACGTGGCATGATTGTTGGTGCCAGAAGGGCTGGTCTGAGTATTTCAGAAACTGCTAATCTACTGGGATTTTCACGCACAACCATCTCTAGGGTTTACAGAGAATGGTCCGAAAAAGAAAAAACATCCAGTGACCGGCAGTTCTGTGGGCGGAAATGCCTTGTTGATCCCAGAGGTCGGAGGAGAATGGCCAGACTGGTTCGAGCTGATAGAAGGGCAACAGTGACTGAAATAACCACTCGTTACAACCGAGGTATGCAGCAAAGCATTTGTGAAGCCACAACACGCACAACCTTGAGGCGGATGGGCTACAACAGCAGAAGACTCCACCGGGTACCACTCATCTCCACTACAAATAGGAAAAAGAGGCTACAATTTGCAAGAGCTCACCAAAATTGAACAGTTGAAGACTGGAAAAATGTTGCCTGGTCTGATGAGTCTCGATTTCTGTTGAGACATTCAGATGTTAGAGTCAGAATTTGGCGTAAACAGAATGAGAACATGGAACCATCATGCCTTGTTACCACTGTGAAGGCTGGTGGTGGTGGTGTAATGGTGTGGGGGATGTTTTCCTGGCACACTTTAGGCCCCTTAGTGCCAATTGGGCATCGTTTAAATGCCACGGCCTACCTGAGCATTGTTTCTGACCATGTCCATCCCTTTATGGCCACCATGTACCCATCCTCTGATGGCTACTTCCACCATGTCACAAAGCTCTAATCATTTCAAATTGGTTTCTTGAACATGACAATGAGTTCACTGTACTAAAATGGCCTCCACAGTCACCAGATCTCAACCCAATAGAGCATCTTTGGGATGTGGTGGAACGGGAGATTCGCATCATGGATGTGCAGCCGACAAATCTGCGGCAACTGTGTGATGCCATCATGTCAATATGGACCAAACTCCCTGAGGAATGCTTCCAGCACCTTGTTGAATCTATGCCACGAAGAATTGAGGCAGTTCTGAAGGCAAAAGGGGGTCCAACCCGTTACTAGCATGGGGTACCTAATAAAGTGGCCGGTGAGTGTATATATAGGTTGGGGGATATGGGAGTTGATAGGGTTTTCATGTAGGGATACACCAATATGAACATTTTATCCCATACTGATAACCGATAATTCTTTATATTTGTAAGTCAATAACCGATATATTGGCCGATAAATCTAAATCCAAATTTTTATATAATTTTTGAGAACCTGGTTACAAAAACAAAAGTCTTACCATTAAAAGCCATGTCCCAAGCACACAATTACAATATTCTCATTATAATTTTATGTAGCCTATATGACAGACTTGCGCTGCACATGTTTAACTGTACAGTATTTTCCAATCATATTTCAAGCAATTCAAAACCATCATGGCGAACAGTTCGCATCTGAAGTGTCTCAGCTGAAGGAAAGAATCCATTATTTATTGGATTTTATATATATCGGCCGACTTTTATTAGCGATAGTGGGCGATATATTGTGCATCCCATGTTTCTTTTGTGCTGCTGATCTTGTATAACAGGTTTTGTTTTTGTATTTGTTTTTTTCTGTCTGGACGATATACAACCAAAATGATATGAAGAGATTGCAGATGACACTTACAGCTGTCTGGGCTGTGACGTGGGTACATCCCACTATTTTAGCCCCTGACAACGGTTTTTCTCCTCGAGCAGATTTTCTTAAGGTCATCAGTGCAGTCATCTCTTCAACAAATAAAAGTACACATACATTAATTATATTTATTTTTCACATAGCTGGTTGCATATGCATCTGTGTATTTCTTGCTTATATGTGTTATCATATATGCCTACCATCCTCAGCAAGCTCTATCTCTCGGCGGCCATAGTCTGCCAGCTTGATGTTTTTGACGCAGAAGTCCCTGTTCCCTTTGGAGTTAATCTGCAGCCTGTCTCGAGGAGAGACTTCATCTTCTAGATTTTCTGCATCTGAGTCCCCTGAAAAAGTGAGAAACAAAATAAGGAAACTGGAATCACGGATTGTGATGAAAATCCAAAGAATGACTAAAAACATTCAAATGTTCCAGTTTGAATTAGCCGGCATCTACCTGAGCTGTTGCTGTCTGTAGAGGATTGAGAAATAGAGTGGGACAGTGAGCGACGGCCCGTCTTTGTTAATCGACTGTTGAATTCTTGCGTCTGCTCAGGATACTGGATTTGCTAAGGGAAAAACAATTATATGTATTACCGGTATATCTTATATATATATATATATATATATGTGTGTTTTGGAGTACTGCAGTTATGATTAGAATACTACATACAAAAAAAATATTTTTTTCTTTTTATATTTTCTTTTTTTATGTAGTATTCTAATCATAACTGCAGTACTCCAAAACATTTTGATTTCTCAGTATTGTCAACTTTTTTTCAAGTTGAGAATATAAATACTGATATTTGAATGCAAATGTTACCATTCATTCTGTAGAGAACCAAAATCTTAGGAAGATTTCTCAAAATAACTGAAGCATTAAACTATTTATCTTAAAGTAAACTCATATCTAATAGTAGCAATATTAGGACAGGTTACATGTGCGGAAACGTAGATGGTTTCAAGTACAGGCAAGAGATCTTATAGAGACCAGTTATAGAGTAGCTATCACTTGCTTACTAACTTACACACTAAACAAACAAAGGAAACCTTGAAATTAAACACGTCATCATATTTATTCATTTGTTTGTTAAGGCTCTTTGTCTTGTCTTTTGGCAAAATGCATTTATATTTAAACAAAATTGCTGACTCTGATCAACTATATTAGCAAGTTAATGAAAAAAAGTGAGCGCCATATAAATCTTCACTCTAGGGTTAGAAATGTAAATGATTGTAAATCAATAACCCCACTCAATACAAAATGACTCAAATGATGAATTACTACAAACTACAAATCACAAAAAATTGATCACAAGCATCAGTTTCTTATGACCCACTTCTAACAAAAAGTAAATTGCAACTTCTGATTTTAGAAATACCTTGAAGTTAAGAGATAAAACAGCATCTTTTGATTCCCTGTTTTTAGTGAGACTAACCAGGCTGTAGACTTTCCTCATGGTGTCTGATCCGCTTGAGAAATGCGTAGAAAAACTCCCACGTAGGCATTTAAAGGCTGAACCACAACAGTAATTGTTGTGCCATAATGTTTAATAAGCGGGCTAGAGAAGCATGGGTCCACTGTCAGATGAAATCCTACACTGTGAGAACTAAGCCTTTACAACAGATTCTCTCTCTGTCAGCTCACGCGATTCGACAATAATTAAAGTCGGTGAGGTCACAAAAGTTCCTACAAGTCATTTATTAATTCTGGCCCAGTGCCACTCAGCTGCTACTGTATAAGTCAAGTGCACTGGTCTGTGTTCAGCCCTCTGTTCAGGGTTGTTAATGATGATCAAGAACTGGTCATTTGGTTACACGTCATTTAGCAGGCAGGCATGTTTGATCCTAAATGACATTGTGTTCACTTTCTAAAGGGACAGTCCCTTTGGAGCAATCGGGTCAAGTGTCTCGTTCAAGGGCAAAATGGAGGTAGGGCGACTCAAACGGACCTCAGATTTCCAGGGTTTAAATCCACCACATTTAGGTTACCAAACATTTACTCATACCTCATGTGGTATAAAACAGCCAGTTCTCGCAGAGACTGTCCCCAATTGCATACACTAAGTGTGTAAGGATAAAATAGGGAAGTTAATGGCTCTCAGATTCAAAGCTTACCCTTTCCAGTGTTTAAAACCAGAAAAATTAGGTTACCAAAGCCTAATATGAAACAACCAGGTCCCTTCAGAGACAGTCACCTTGGCACAACTTAGGGTAAAGTTTTTAAGGACAAAATGGAAGTAAGGGAACTCAACAACTCTCAGATTCATGGGTCTCCAATTCTGTGCACTCCAATGACCAACACAGACAATTTCCGAATCTGAGTAAAAATTGAATTGAATAATTCCCGTTGAAACAACCTTGTTGGACAAAATGGTGCTAAAGGTCCTCACCAACTCTCAGATTCTCCTTTTCCCAGGTTTAACCTCAGCATTTCTATCCATTCCTAAATCTAACCCCTTCTAAATCTGGTATGAAACAGGAAATTGACTGTTCCGTTACTTTAGGGACATTCTTGTTAAAGCAACCTGGGATCAAGTGCTTTGTTGAAGGACAAAATAGTGGCAAAGTGTGAGATGCCAGAAAGGTTTGAAACAGGAAATTGAACGCAGTAACAAGTTTACATGGAAGTCTATTCTTACATCATAATGCACAGCACTAAACAATACTTTAACACCCTTTGTAAAAGCACTTATTCAGCCCCGGTAGCACTTACTCTTTTTGTTCTTGGCGCTTCATTGACCGCTCCATCATTTGCATCGAACACTTCCTCGCTGTTCTGCATTGGTACGAGTGCAGGCCGCCTGTTGGTCGCTGCCTCCAGCATTCTCAATAACTTGGAGCTAATTGTTGGCAGTTGTGAGGAATCTCCATCTTCTCTTTCCAGAGCTGAAGAAAATGCAGCTTCGCCATTATTGCTGCTCTCTCCTATGCTTTCATTGTCTTCCAATGGTGGAGTTGGAAACTGAATCTCTGGTTCAGTGTTGAGACTGCTCTCCATTTTCAAGTGTTTGGTTGAGTGTTGAAGTTACAGACAGTTGCTCTTTTAAACAGACGTGGGTCGTAAAATATAGTATAAACATTGCCTTCGTGAAAACTAATTGTGGAAACAGAGGCTGTGAATGACATGGGGGTAGAGGAGGGTTTTCAAGAATCTTTGGGATTGGTTTACTATTCTGTTTGATGCTGTTAAACCGTGGTGACTTCTTCTTGGTTGATATTGGGCTCAGGGTTTTATCAGTTGTACCATCTTATAACTACAAAACCATTCAAAAGTTTGAAGTTGGTAAGTTGTTTTTTGGTGTTGTTGTTTTAAAGAAATTAATATTTATTTTATTTGGCAAGGACAAATTCAGATTCAGTTGTAAAGTAGTGCTTGTACACCATTATGAATTATAGAGTGATGGTGCTTTTTTTAAATTTCAGACTATCATGAAAGTAATAATGTTTGAGGAAAGATTTGTTTACAGGAAACTCGCCTGTTGTGTTGGCTAAACACTTTGACAGAAATCATGTCTCCTGAGATTAAGGTCACCCCATTTAATAGGTTTTTCTTCTGTTTTAGTTTCATTCTGAAGTGTAACTACAAGCTAAATGTTCATTGCTAACTTCTAACAGATTTAAGGCTGAGATTTTAAAAAAAATAACACTGACTGATCCTTAAGACTCTCCATTTTAACATGGTAGCCTAAAATGTATGGTGGCTGCCCCTTTTTATTGCACATTTTAAAGGCTTATTGATACTGTCATAAACAAACTGTCAATTTAATCTGCCTCTTTTTTATAAAATGAAAGATAATGGACAGCTGCTACAATTCTCTCTAGTTCATCATGTCCAATGAATGTGGGGCAATTCCAGTGGAAGTAGGGGAAGTAACGCCGCCTTGTGGTGAGTTAATTCAGTGCCGTTTGGAACTGTGCTGGATTGTTTGCCAGTAAAGAGTATTTTGGAAAATAAGTTTTACAAATGTTTAAGCTTCTATAACACATGCATATATGCTCTGCAGACAACCTTACTACTGTTTTTCTATGTTTTTTTATTTTAAAAAAAAAGCTCTTAAAGCTGCAGTCCATAACTTTTTTGTGTGTTCGAAATGTTCAAAAATGTATATAATAACAGAGTACATCAAGAATCAATTTTCCACACCGTGTTTTTGCCTTATCCTGAACCACTACGGAACACCTATAATAAGTGTTTATATTCAGACTATTTTAGACTGGTATACTCCTGCGTGACTCGTCATACATAAACAGAGAGAAGTAGCTCCGCTTACAATGTTGTTCCGCAAGACGCATGCAGTTCTGTTTATTAACCGCTAGAGCGCCAAAAGTTATGGACTGCAGCTTTAAATAATGCATATAGCACACTCCCATTCTCACAAACCTGCAATTTTCCATGTTGGCATATTGCTGAATACTTCCAACAGGGGGAGCAGTCAAACAATTAAATATATAAATATATATATTCAAATTACAATGAAAAGTTATATAAAGTAGCAATTTTTCAGATTTTTTAATTGTAGTTTTAGATAGCAAAACAAATAAAACAAAACTGCTTTAATGTCTACTAAAGTAGTTTTTTTATTACATAAAGTGCAGCATGAATAGTAAGTCAAATGCCTAATTTGATCATATACAATTTCATGTAAAGAACAAAAAAGAGAATATGATGTGTGAAGTTTTAAAGTGAAGTGTATTGAAGTAATTATATGTTGTTCTCACTTAAACTGGTATTTGTGAATAGTTTCCATTTTCACTTTAAATTTTCCGTTAAGACTAAAAGAGCCTTCAACAGTTCAGTTTATCAGTTATTAAACAATACAGATTATAAAGACATTAATGGGCTTAAGCTGAATATTATGTTCTTACTATTTTGCACATGTAGATTTGCTCAGTAACATTGTTTAGTTGATTTTTATTGATGTGCAACCTGTACATATCCGTTTAAAAAAATGTGTCTTCATGACCCTTTAAGGTAATGGTGTTCTTAAAGGTACGTGTCATTTATCCGATCCTCACAGTGACCTTTGAACCGTTCGTGGGTTCATTATCTCTTGCCTGGCTCTGATGACACACTGAATACAGATAAGAAATCCAGTCGTGATTTTGTTCCCATGGAAACATTAGGGAGCATTAGCCAGCCAATGAATGAATGGCACAGTGCTATTGTGTGTTATGGTGGCAGGTCAAACAGAAGGAAGTCTTGCCACCCCATGGCACTGTAATAAAGAAGGCCACACCTATTTCTGCTCTGGTGTATTGAAGAAAGCAAAAGCATTGCCCTTGTACCTGGTTCCTGCTGTACTTCAGAAGACAAGACCAACTTCAGCGGATTAAAAAAGTATCAGGTAAGCTTTAGAATTTCATTTCAAATATGCATGTTCGAGCAGACTGTTCATAAAGAAATAATGTATCATTCAGGTTTCTAGTGTCTACTTTGACATGGATAAATGACACGCTTGTTCAAACATTCCACGTTTGCACTGCATTGCTTAAGAAATGTTATCCACAGTCTGCAATTCACTCAATGGTATTTCTGGCTTGCATCATTTAAACACTGATTTAATCTCACAATAATGACCAGCTTGCTGTACAAAAAAGTAAGGGATTATTATACAGGCTTTTGTTAGTTTTGCCGACGGTAATTCTCTTGTTTATTTCACATGATTTCTGCAGTGCAAAGTATCCGAGTGGAATGGTTTAAACTGGGGATTTTCATCCCAACTAAGACCAGTGAATGCTATGAATCTGTCTCGAGGGTTAGGCCTAATTCTGTCATATGGTGAATGTAGGTTGACCCATTTATTCCCAAATATTTTCCAGCTAAATGAGCACATGTATTTTAATGCTTGGAGTCCAATGAAACAAAATACATGCCTTTTATAATGATTTAATTATATTTATATTATTTTGGGGGGGGGGTTTAAAACAAGAGAATGACAAAATAGGGTTTAAGAGTTCCCCCGCGGGTCATAAATTCGACCACTGAGGTGTGATCATGGCAGAGAAATCTTAATACTATATTAATAATAGACCCTTTAAATATTATATGGTCGTTGTATGATATACATGTTTCCTTTTATGGAGCTCTGAGACAGACGTCATATCATACAGTATCTGGTCATGTGACTTACAAAAACTAGAATCAAAAGTAATTTGATTCACAAATTGTTACTGGTAGAGTTAAATGGGTTAAATTTATAAGATTTGTGGGGGAAAATTGGGAAAACTTCTAGAATGTGATAACATATTTAAGCAATATAGCTTTGCTTGTGGATTTATTTGCAATTATACACTAATAGTCACGGCTAAAATGTGTTTTACAATGCAGCACAGCCCTGAGTGTCTTGCTTTTGTTAAATATAACAACATTATATAATATTAAGGAGATTTTTATTTTATTTTTTTAATTATAATTTAAGCAAATTCGGGCCATGCTGCTAGAAAATATAGCCCCTGCCATAACAGAACCGGAACCATCCGTTTTAACTAAAAAAAAAATCAGTCAAAGTTGAACTTGTAAGGCTCCTGGGTGCAGTTTTCCTCAGGTGAAGCTGTTCATATTATCACAACCACATAAATGATTTCAACCTATATCTAAACAACCATATAATGTATGCAACTGGGCCACTCACTCACCATCCTCAATCCCTAGCGCGCATGCGCATGCTGCAGACGTACGGGCGTGTGTTCATTCACGTTACAGGTGAAGCTGCGCCAATGAGCTTCAAAGTCACGTACATGGTTCAAGTGTACTGTGACTGTCAATTTCTTCGTGGTTAACAACACATTTACGATCCCCCTTTGATACCTTAGTTACTCATTAAGACATTAATACAAATTTCACGACTTTGGGACCCTAATGAAATAAATGTAGTCATAGGTTGTTGCCTGGTTTACTGAAAGGGGTGGGAGAAGTTGCACTGGTCTCGGTGAGATTCTGAATCATCTTGTGCTGCTGCTGCTGCCTAGAAGGGGAGGGTTGACTCGGACTGCTGCTGTGTTGGGAGAAGGGCAGATTTCCACAGCATACCCCTGCATCCTCTAGTAATCCCAGTGTCTATCCTTCTGTCTTTCCAATCTTCAATACCGCATTCATCTGGAGAGATCTCGTCTGCTTTTTGTAGGGTTAAAATGGCAAGCAGCTTCGCACGGGTTTTGTCCAGTAAGAGGAAGGTGGGCATCTTGTCGCTGGTCGGCGCGGGATCTCTAACCGTGGGATTCTTCCTGAATAGGGAGCATGTCAATGCAGGATCGAACGTCAGGAGAATCTATCCTGCTAGGTAACTACAGCCATACCCGTCTCTCATAACGACAATATCGAACGGAAGACAATGAAATATTGTGATGCAATGGCACACAAACCATGTATTGTATGCATAAGTGAGTGTCAAAAATGTTCATTAATAGGCAGGAATTATCCAGTTCCACGGTCGTGTGGCGATAAATAATCATGTTATATTATATTATTAGACCTTTTTAATGTTGTATTTTATATTGTATATCTAAATACTGAATTTAATGTCTTTTAAACACAGGTATTAAATCTCGAATGAACCGTTATTCATTTTCACACCTTTCATGTGTAAGATGCTGATGAATGCGAATAAAGGTTTTGTTTATTTAGTTGTAGTTTGCACGCATACATGTCTCGTAATTTCCATTGTATCAATAAAAATCTACGTGACGTTCTAGAACGCGAAATAGTCAGGGTCAGAACAAACACCAGTTAGTAGCTCGATAGGTTTAAACGCGCTCGTCATATATATAAAACATATAATAACTCTATAATAAAACCATGGTTAATTTTCAGCTCACTTGCTTTTGAGACACAAAAAGCTTTTCTTTTCCCCTACAGTGCTGAATATCCAGATTTGAGGAAGCACAATAACTGTATGGCCAGTCACCTGACTCCTGCAATATATGCAAAGCTGTGCGATAAAGCCACTCCGAATGGTTACACTTTGGACGAAGCTATCCAAACTGGTGTGGACAACCCAGGCCACCCCTTTATTAAGACAGTAGGAATGGTGGCAGGGGATGAGGAGTCATATGGGGTGAGAGGATATTATATATGACACATTTGGCATATTTAGAGATC